CCAGTGAAGGAGGGTCTGCCACCTTCTGAGGGAGTCTGTTCCACAGTCAAACAGCTCTTATCACCGGAAAGTTCTTCCTGATGTTTAGACAGAATCTCCTTTCTTGTAACTTGAATCCATTAGTTCAGGTCCCGTCCCCCAGAGAGCAGCAGGAAATAAGCTTGCTCTGTCCTACTTGGGATAGCCCTTGCAATATTTGAAGGTGGCTCTCGTATCTCCTCTCAGTTTCCTCTTCTCCAGGCTAAACATGCCCAACTCCCTCATCTGTTCCTCATGAGGCTTGGTTCCCAGACCTTCAGTCATCTTGGTGACCCTCGTCTGCACATGTCCCAGCTTGCTAACATCCTTTTTATATTGGGGTGCCCAGAACCGGCCACAGGACTCCAGCTGGGATCATATGAGAAGCAGGAGAGGGGCTGCCATTGCAAAGCACTGCCGTATGCTCAAACTCTCATCCTTCCAAGGCATGGCATACCATGTGTGTTCACGTCTGATAGCGATCCTCAGTTTGCAAGACACAAATTCAGGGTGGGAATAAAACCAGGGCCACATCACATTCATCTGAAATCAAAGGCAGTGTTAGAAAATGGAGCCAGGATGGGTCCAAAGGCTGATAGAGAAAACCTTGGATCCAGGGACAAATCCCTATCATGCCACATGGAAGTTCAGAGCGTTTCCTTTGGTGAATGGAAAGTCTCTGGCGAAACCATCCTTCCTCAGGAGACAGAGAACCTGACCTCCAGGCTTAATAGAGATGGCTTGGAGGTAATTGATTATGATGCAAAATAAGCAGCATCTATCCTATGGCAGCACAGGTGGCGCTGTGGGTTAAACCACAGAGCCTAGGACTTGCCGATCAGAAAGTTGGCGGTTCGGATCCCTGCGACGGGGTGAGCTCCCGTTGCTTGCTCTCTGCTCCTGCCAACCTAGCAGTTCGAAAGCACATCAAAATGCAAGTAGATAAATAGATACCACTCCGGCGGGAAGGTAAACAGCGTTTCAGTGCGCTGCTCTGGTTCGCCAGAAGCGGCTTAGTCATGCTGGCCACATGACCTGGAAGCTGTACGCCAGCTCCCTCGGCCAATAAGCGAGATGAGCGCCGCAACCCCAGAGTCGGCCACAACTGGACCTAATGGTCAGGGGTCCCTTTACCCTTTACCTATCCTATGACAGTGTCACAACTATTGCAACTGCTAAACCCTAATGGCAAAGTGTGCCTGCACCCAGATGTGCCTAGCCTCTGGATACCAGAGTACAACTTAGGGAGAATGCTGCTGTGCTTGAGTTCTGCTCCTGGGCTTCCCACCGAAACATCTGGCAGGCTACTGTGAGAACAGGAAGCTGGACTAAATGGACTTTGGTATGATCTTAGGTTCTTCTGTTTGGCACAAGCCAGAGCGAGGCGGCATATGCCACTGAAGAGGTTTCTCCTGCTCTCCTGACCATGTGACACAACTTTCAGATGCAACAGAAGGTATCTTCCACGTGCAGTCGTACCTTGATTCTCCAACACTTTGGTACTTGTCCATTTTGGTTCCCAAAAGTTGCAAACGTGAGTGTTCCGGTTTGCGAATGTTTTCTGGAAGCTGAATGTCCGACGGGGTTTCCGCAGCTTCCAACTGGAAGTCGCGCCTTGGTTTCTGGATGTTTGGGAAGTCGAACGGACTTCTGGAATGGATTCTGTTTTACATCTGAGGTACCACTGTATTCCAGAAGAAGAGGAGTTTGGATTTGATATCCTGCTTTATCACTACCGGAAGGAGTCTCAAAGCGGCTCACAATCTCCTTTCCCTCCCTCCCCCACAACAAACACCCTGTGAGGTGAGTGGGGCTGAGAGACTTCAGAGAAGTGTGACTAGCCCAAGGTCACCCAGCAGCTGCATGTGGAGGAGCGGGGAAGCGAACCGGGTTCACCAGATTACGAGTCTACCACTCTTAACCACTACACCACACTGGCTCCTGTAGATGAGTTCACTCTGCAGGATCCATGCACAGCATGCAAGTGAGCAGTATTCCCTGAGAACTACCAGTTCTTGACTCCTCTGCTTCGTGCTGTAACCTAGTCCTAGTTTTTCTTGACTGCAAACCGTGGCTGGAAGTCATTTGTTTGAAAGGGGAGACGTTAGGAAAACGAGCCGTGCCATCACGGACAGGGATAGGTTACCAAGTATAACCAGATCCAGCCAGCCTTTGCCACCAGAGCTACTGTAGACTTTGAATAAAAAGCCGTTTAATCTACAGGCTGCCTCTGGATAAACCGCTCTGATGGAAGCAGAACAGAAGCTCCCCTGGACAAACTCTCCACACCCAGCACACGGCCAGATCCAACGTGAAGACCTGGATCCCAAAGGGCCTTAATCCCAAACTGAATGTACTCACACTCATCCACCAGCAGAGAAAACTCTGTGAGAGTTTGTTGTTTACCTGAGCAGAGCCATGCACTGTGTTGCTCAAGGATTCAAAAAAATTTGATGCAGTTTTGCAAGTTTTCAGTCCACCATCTTGATTTAGAGTGGTGTCCAACGGTATGCCAACACAGATGAAAGTCTGCTCTTGGATCTCAGGAACCACCCTGCAAAAACTGGTTACGGTGTCTCAAGAGGTGCCCAGACGCATGGAGAACAGACAAATGGACTAACAGTTTTCCAAAATATATGGCAGATTTAGATCCTGTGGCTTCCAAGGCCTTTTAGGTGATCCTCACTCCAGCTTTGATGGTGGTGATGGGCTCCCAGTGTACCTGTGGAGGTTTAAGGAGCTCAGGCCAGGGGTCGCTGGCAACTATTACACCAGGGTGAAGCAAGAGCCTGCAAGCAAGTGTTGTGCACCCTGAAAGCTTTCTGGTGATGTCCCCAAAAGGAGGCAGTGGGGCAAAATGTCTGGCAGGTGGACAGGCAGGGAGGCTGCTCCTTTCAGTCAGGCCCCTTCACTTTCTTGCTGCTGCTGCTTAAATCTTTTACGCAAATTTGTTTAACATAAAAAACTGTTTTATGATACATTTTGTATTGTAAACTGCTTTGGATATTTGAAGGGAAGACCAACATCCACATATCTGGGAGCCAGTGTGGTGTGGTGTAGTTAGAGTGCGGGACTAGGACCTGGGAGAGACGTGGGTTCGAATCCCCCCCTCCTCCCTGGAGACAGTCCCTGCCTCTCAGACTAGCCTACCTTACAGGGTTGTGATGTTTAAATGAGGGGAGAAGTGGAGGAAACAGCACTGGCCCCCTTGATCTCCTTGAAGAATAAGGTGGGATGCAAATCATGCAATAGGTAGACAAACATTCGAAACGAATAGCGTAAATCAATTCGTTTGGTGGAACAAATTGGCTGAAAGCGCGAGGGAGGCGCCGCCTAAAATTGCAGCCTTACCTTGCACCCCCCCAGCAAAGGCTCCAAGCCCAGTTCCCAAGGCGGGCGGGGCTTCTCCTCGCCACCGCCAGCCTCCGCCATTCCCTGGCCCATCAGGACCCTCCCAAGCGGCCCCCGCCAACCAATGCCTTGGCCGGGGCGGCGAACGGAGCGCCGCGCTCTGCACGTGCTCGGAGGCACTCTCTCCCGCAGCCGGCCGAATCGGCTGCAGCGGCGTTTCCAGGACGACGACGAGGAGGAGGAGGACTACGAGTCCCGTGATGCACCGGGCCGGGGGGGGGGAAACCAGCCTGGCACCAGCTGACAGCTCCGGCGGCTGCACAGGGGATGGAGGGACACCATTAGAATAAGCCAGAGAGCCCGGTCAACGGGAAAGGGGGAGGGGGGCCAGAGGAGGGGGGAGGGGCAGCAGCGTTGACAGGGGGGGGGCTGCTGCTGGAGAGAGATCGGCAGGGAACCCCGCACCCTCCGCTCCGTGGTGCAGGATGCGCCTGCAGGGGGCGAGGTGATCGCAAGGTTGTGCCGGGGGCGGGGCGCGCAGCCAAGCAGGGACCCCCCCCCCCATTTCTCCGCCAGGCCATCTGCAGCGGCGCGCAGGCGATGGGGGCGCCGCCGAGGCGGGGAGGGGGCCGCCGGCCCCTGTGCTGAGCGTCGCCCGGAGGGATCCGCAGGGCTGCCGGCTGCACCCCCGCCCGCTCGCCGCCCGGGCAGGTGCATGGAGCAGGGGCGCCCAGGAAGCAGCCCGGCCGCCGGGGGGCGCAAGGCGCAGGACAGCCATCCAGGTGAGTCCGTCCCCCACGCACCCACCCACCCACCCACCCGCGATCAGGGGCAGAGCGCAAGCCCGATCCTGACCCCTCTGCCGGCCGACCCTGCAGGGGGACTGGAGCAAGGCAGCCCCCCAGCCCCAAACCGCCACACCCGCCCCGCAGGCGGCTTACATAAGGTTTCGCAAAGCTCATCTCTGGCGTGCCAGCTGGTGGCCCTGGTCTTTGTGGGTTGGGAAGGAGTGGGCGGGCCGAGCTGGCACACCTGCGGCAGCAAAGGGGGCTGAGGGGGGGGCGGGAGCGTCTGCCACCTCCTCCAGGTGAGGATTCCAGCGCAGGATGCGCGCCAGCCCTCTGAACATGGCATGGGGGTCTTGCGTGCAAATGGCCCCGATTTCTCCCTCCATCTCTCTGTCATCACAGGGTGGTGTTTCGGAGGGTGGGGGGAGGATAATAGCCTCTTTCTTCTCTGCCAGGGGACGGCGGCTGTCACTCCAGGAGGAGGAGGCTCTTCAGCTGAGCCGCTGGGAAGGGGGGCACCCGGCCTGGCATGATTGTTTTGCCTTAAAGACACAGGCTCCCCTCTCCACCATGCTAAAGAAGAGCCCTTTCTTCCTCCTGCAGCGCTTCTCCCCTCCCTGGGCGCACATTTGGCTCCTTGAGAGTTGAGGAGGCTTCCTGGGAAGACCGCTGGTGGAGGCCCAGCAGCCAGGACGACTGGTGATGGTGGTGAGGATGGAACCCCCAGAGCCCAGAGCTCTGGACGCTGGAAGACTTGGCAAGCGGACCTCAGCTGCAGCCGGCCCCTGAGCCATGCAAGGCCGTGACCAGGGGAGCAGGGCCCCCACAGTGGACGCCAGCAGCATGGAGCAGGCCTGCAAGGAGGGGGCGGGCAGCGGGGGTCTCTGGGCCGCGTGCCCACCTGCCCCCAGCCCCTTCTGGACCGCCATCTTTGACTACGAGGCCTCAGCGGAGGAGGAGCTGACCCTGCGCAGGGGGGACCTGGTGGAGGTCCTCTCCAAAGACTCCACCGTCTCCGGGGACGAGGGCTGGTGGGCCGGGAAAGTCCAGGAGAAGGTGGGGGTCTTCCCCAGCAACTACGTGGCCAGTGACGCCAAGTACAGCCGCCTGCAGGACTCGCTGGTCTGCCCGCCTCCGCTGGAGATCTCCTTTGAGGAGCTGGAGCTGGAGGAGATTGTGGGCGTGGGGGGCTTCGGGAAGGTCTACAAGGGGCTGTGGCGGAGGGAGGAGGTGGCCGTGAAGGCCATCCGCCAGGACCCCGAGGAGGACATGGCGGTGACGGCGGAGAACGTGCGCCAGGAGGCTCGCCTCTTCGCCATGCTGAGGCACCCGAACATCATCGCCCTGAGGGCTGTCTGCCTCAGCCCCCCCAACCTGTGCCTGGTGATGGAGTATGCCCGGGGAGGGGCACTCAACCGCGCCCTGGTGGGCCGGAAGGTGCCCCCCCACGTGCTGGTCAACTGGGCCGTCCAGATCGCCAGGGGCATGAACTACCTGCACAACGAGGCTGTTGTCCCCATCATCCACCGGGACCTCAAGTCCATCAACGGTAAGCCCTGTCGCTGGGAGATGTTGCTTCAGCAGTGAAGGGGCTCAGAGGGGGAGGCTGTGCCTAGTCCTGGTTGCTCAGCCAGGCACTGATCCCGGCAGGGGGCTTCCCTCCTCCTCTTGTGTAACCTCACTTGCTTACCAGTAACCCTGCATGATAGAGTCATGGACTGGTAGAGCTGAGAGGGTCTCCTTGGGATCACCTGGGACGTGGGTGGTGCTGTGGTTAAACCACAGAGCCTAGGACTTGCCGATCAGAAGGTCGGCGGTTCGAATCCCCGTGATGGGGTGAGCTCCGGTTGCTTGGTCCCTGCTCCTGCCAACCTAGCAGTTCGAAAGCACGTCAAAGTGCAAGTAGATAAATAGGTACCATTCCAGCGGGAAGGTGCTCTGGTTCGCCAGAAGCGGCTTAGTCCTGCTGGCCACATGACCCAGAAGCTGTACGCCGGCTCCCACAGCCAATAAAGCGAGATGAGTGCCTCAAGCCCAGAGTTGGCCACAACTAGACCTAATGGTCAGGGGTCCCTTTACCTTTACCTTTTTACCTCGGGATCACCTAGTTTCGCCCCCCTGCAATGCAGGAATCACAGCTATGGAATCCCATCCAAGCTCTGCTCAAAAACCTACAAGGAAGGAGAGCCCACCACTTTTGAGGTAGTTCGTAGCTCTCCCTAATGTTTAGTTGGAATCTCCTTTTCTGTATCTTGAATCCATTGGTTCGGGTCGTCCTCTCTGGAGCAGGAGAATCTGCTCCCTGAGTCGGTGTAGATTTGGGGAAGGGTCCCGAGAGTCATGTAATCCAGCCCCCTGCAATGCAGGAGCCACAGCTAAACTCACCATCTCCTCTGCTCCTGGGGGTAACGAGAAGGGGCCCGAGACTGGCTGGCCAGGGTAACCTGGATAGCTGGTTTGGTGACTGGGGTTGGGGGTGTCTGGACTGGACTGTTCCTCTGGGTCACTGGTGGTGAGGAGGCCTGTCCTGCTCTTCCAAGGAGACCCCTAACTTCCAGCTGAACCCTAAGACCATGGGTGACCTGGCAGGGGAAGAGGACAAGAACTGGGGGTGAACCTTGCAGTGCCAACCCTGAATACTGTCATGTCCCTTGCAGGATGTGGGTCCCGGTCTTTTGCTGGCTGGAAGAGTCTCTGCCAATTGCCACCCCACCCTCTGTGAGTCCCCAGTCCCAGCAGAACTGGAGATGCATAGGGAGGGTGTGATGGCAGACCTGTCTCCTGTGGACACCTTGGAGCCAGACCTCCCACCGCCCCCCACAACTGCTCCACTGGCTCCCTGGCCAGATATTGGCCAAGGAGAGCAGCGGAAGGGGATTGTTCAAAGGTGGGCAGCTGCAGTGAGGACATCTCCATCCTTGGCCACTGTCCTCCTGGGCGGTGTTGGTGGCAGGGAAAGTGAGGCCTGCTCAGGAAGGGGGTGAGGAGAACTTCCTCCCTCTCCCCAAATGCCAACAGCCATCCAAATGGAGCCACGAAGCCCACCGCATGCTCAAAACAATACCTGCCAAACCAAATGATGGAGCCAGCAAGCGGTGTCCTCTGCTCGATGATACCTCCCCATTTCCTTCTTCCTGGTTCCTTCCTCAGTCCTAATCCTGGAGCACATCGAGAACGATGACTTGGGCGGCCGGACCCTCAAGATCACGGACTTTGGCCTGGCACGCGAGTGGCACAAAACCACCAAGATGAGCGCTGCAGGGACTTACGCCTGGATGGCCCCCGAAGTCATCAAGCTCTCTCTCTTCTCCAAGAGCAGCGACGTGTGGAGGTAATTGAGGGTCGCAGTGGAGGGGACGGGGAGGGAGGGAGGGAGGAAGGAAGGAAGGACCCAGCTCCCTTGCCCAGAGGGCAGCCATCTTTCTTCTCTCCAATCACTGAGAGCCAAACAGAAATGCAAACGGATCGGCTCTCCTTGTCACGCAGGAAGCTTCACCTGTTGAACTTCAGCCTGCTGCGCAACTGATAAAGGACACAGGAGCACCCCCTGGGAAAAACAGAACCCCCAACCACCACCGCTTAGAGGGTGCAGACAGAGAGATTAGCCGCTTGTGAGGGTGGGCCCTTTTTGACCCAGAATTGTGGAGTTGGAAGGGACACCCAAAGGCCATGTAGTCCAACCCCCGGAATTGCAGACACCATGCTTGTTTTTATAACGGTTCCGGGGCAGGGAGATGGAGTGCCTTCCCTCTGCGGCTGCTTGTGGGTCTGTGGCCTCCCCCCACGGACTCACTCCTTGCCTCTCTCTTCCCGTCTCCCCTTCCCAGCTTTGGGGTGCTGCTGTGGGAGCTGCTGACTGGCGAGGTCCCGTACCGGGAGATTGACGCCCTGGCGGTGGCCTACGGGGTGGCCATGAACAAGCTGACCCTGCCCATCCCCTCCACCTGCCCTGAGCCCTTTGCCCGCCTGCTGGAGGGTGAGTGGGGGCTGCTGCTGCTGGGGGGCCGAGGGCATGGCCCTCTTCATGCTTGCTCAGTGCTTCGAGGGTGCGGGGGGCAGGCCAGGGGGGCAGGGGTCTTGTGGCACAGGTGTGTGGTCTCTCCCACAGCTATAGGGCTGGGGAAGAGCCCCAGGGGCACAAGTGGGGATTGCGGTGGGGCGCCTTCAGCCTTATGCCCCCCACCAGTTGCAACCCAAGGCTCAGAAAGAGGTCAAGACCCCTTATTTTGTTATCAAATAAAAGCGCCTCTCCCCCACCCCCTTGTAGGACACTCTTCTCCCCTTGCTTCCTCTGCCAGCCCCTCACCCCAAAGATTCCCCAAATATCTAAACATTTTGCTGGGCAAAGGACGAGATGGCACCCCCAGCCCCATTCCACTTGTGTCCCCTGGGGAGCTCTCCCTCGCCAGGGGGCCCAGCCGAGAGCTTCCTCAATCTCCCCCCAGGCTCAGGGGAGAGGTGCTTTGGGGAGGCCGCCTGGGAGAACCCGGTCCAAAGGGAGAAGCAAGCTGCACATGCTCAGAAGCACTCTCTTCCTGATTTCAGGGCATGCAGCCCAGGTCTCAGTGCTGAGCCTGCCATGGCTTGGCCTGCACTGTGGCAAGAGATTGAGGGGCTTAGTTGGCATAAAATTTGGGGTGGAGGGCATCCAATGAAAATGAACGGTGGAAGACCCCAGGAGGCCGTGAGGGCCACCAGCTCAGTTAGCTTTAATAGACTATGATGATGATTATTATTTATTACAGTATATGCCACCCATCTTGGACTCACAGCTGTCCATTGAGATGCAGGTTAATTCTGTGTCCAGGGCAGCTGTCTACCAGCTCTATCTGGTACGCAGGCTGAGACCCTACTTGACCGCAGACTGCCTCGCCAGCGTGGTGCATGCTCTGGTTATCTCCCGCTTGGACTACTGCAATGCGCTCTACGTGGGGCTACCTTTGAAGGTGACCCAGAAACTGCAATTAATCCAGAATGCGGCAGCTAGACTGGTGACTGGGAGTGGCCGCCGGGACCACATAACACCAGTCCTGAGAGATCTGCATTGGCTCCCAGGACTTTCCGAGCACAATTCAAAGTGTTGGTGCTGACCTTTAAAGCCCTAAACGGCCTCGGTCCAGTATACCTGAAGGAGCGTCTCCACCCCCATCGTTCAGCCCGGACACTGAGATCCAGCGCTGAGGGCCTCCTGGCGGTTCCCTCACTGCGAGAAGTGAGTTACAAGGAACCAGACAGAGGGCCTTCTCGGCGGTGGCGCCTGCCCTGTGGAACGCCCTCCCATCAGATGTCAAGGAAATAAGCAGCTATCCTATTTTTAAAAGATATCTGAAGGCAGCCCTGTTTTGGGAAGTTTTTAATATTTAATGCTGTATTGTTTTTAACACTTGATTGGAAGCCGCCCAGAGTGGCTGGGGAGACTCAGCCAGATGGGTGGGGTATAAATAATAAATTATTATTATTATTATTATTATCTGACTGGGTTGTCCCAGTCACTCTGGGCGGCTCCCAACAAAATATTAAAACCCCAATAGAACAGATTCATGGAGGAGAAGACTATGCCCTGTCTCCACCATCAGAGACAGGAAGTGCTTCCAAATCCCAGTTCCTGAAACCACAGGAAGGGAGAGTCTTGCTCTTGCCCTTGAACCTTCTTGCTGGTTTCCCACAAGAGTTACCTGCCCGGTCAGTGCAAGAACAAGATGCTGAGCGAGCCGTCGTCCGGACGCTGCAGGCTCCTCTTCTGTTCTTGTGGAACCTCCAGCCTCGGAGGCAGTCTATCCAGATTCCTTGGGACATTTGGCCTCTGCGGGAACAGGAAGCTGGGCTGGTTGGGCCCCTGACAGGTTCCGCCAGGCTCTTCTTAATGCTGGCTTTGTTTGGCCTTCTCCTCTGACCTTCTCTCCCCACAGAGTGCTGGAGCCCGGACCCCCATGCCCGGCCGGACTTCGGCTCCATCCTGCAGCAGCTGGTGGCCATCGAGCAGTCGGCCATGTTCCAGATGCCCCTGGAGTCCTTCCACTCTCTGCAACAGGACTGGAAGGTGGAGATTGCTGACATGTTCTACGACCTGCGTGCCAAGGAAAAAGTGAGTCTGCTTCTTCTGGCTCTGCATCTCTTGGGGCTCAGTCCCACTTGCCTTTCCTCTCTGCTGTAGAGCTCCAAGTCCAAGTTCCTTTTGTTGTTGTTTAGTCGTGTCCGACTCTTCGTGACCCCCTGGACCAGAGCACGCCAGGCACTCCTGTCTTCCACTGCCTCCCGCAGTTTGGTCAAACTCATGCTGGTAGCTTCGAAAACACTGTCCAACCATCTCATCCTCCGTCATCCCCTTTTTCTTGTGCCCTCCATCTTTCCCAACATCAGGGTCTTTTCCAGGGAGTCTTCTCTTCTCCTGAGGTGACCAAAGTATTGGAGCCTCAGCTTCACGATCTGTCCTTCCAGTGAGCACTCAGGGCTGATTTCCTTGAGAATGGAGAGGTTTGATCTTCTTGCAGTCCATGGGACTCTCAAGAGTCTCCTCCAGCACCATAATTCAAAAGCATCCATTCTTCGGCGATCAGCTTTCTTTATGGTCCAGCTCTCACTTCCATACATCGCTACTGGGAAAACCATAGCTTTAACTATACGGACCTTTGTTGCTTTGTTCCTTTTAATTATTCCTTTTCTGCCCCAGAGCTTTCTCTGCGGAAATCCAGGGCAGATCTACACTTGTGGTTTTTAACGCTAAGGAAGGGTTTTGATAACGTAAATGGACACCTGTTGTCCTCCTTTAAGGCGTTATTAAAATGTGGTGCTGCAGAGCAACCGGCAGTAGGAAGACAGAGTTTTGATAAAAGGAACCAAGGTTAAAAAAGTGCTTTCCTTTCCAAGTATGCCCTGTGACGCCTTGGAACGGCAGATCTTATACCGTTCTTATAGCGTTAAACAGGTCGGTGTAGATCCAGCCCCGCTCTTTACGGCTGAATCGGAGCCAACGTCAGTAGGCAGAAAACCCCAGTTGCCGTTTGGAGTGCTTCTGTTTTAAAGAGCGAAGGAAAGGCTGCTCTGACGTGGAGCTTTAAAATGCCTGGGAAGAGCGAGGCAGCAGTTAAGTGGGGACAAGCCCTCAGAGTTTGGAAACAGCAAGAAGGGGGTGGACTCTTGTGCTTAGATCCTGCTTGTGGGTTTTAGGGCAGCTGGTTGGCCACTGTGAGAACAGGATGCTGGCCTGATCCAACAGCCTCTTCTTGTTTTCCATGGAACCTCCAGATCCACAGGCAGTCTATCCTAATTCCTAGCTTCTTAGAGGCATTTGGCCACTGGGGAAACAGGATGGTGGACTAGATTTGGGGGGGGGGCATGGGGTGGTTGGGTGTGGAGGACTCCCTGGTCCTGAATGGGGTAACTGTGCCCCTGAAGGACTCATTTTGGACTCATAGCTGTCCACAGAGGTGCAGGTCAATTCTGTGTCCAGGGCAGCTGTCTGCCAGCTCCATCTGGTATGCCGGCTGAGACCCTACCTGCCCGTGGACTGTCTTGCCAGAGTGGTTCATACTCTGCTTATCGCCTGCTTGGACTACTGCAATGGGCTCTACGTGGGGCTACCTTTGAAGGGGACCCGGAAACTACAACTAATCCAGAATGTGGCCACCGGGACCACATAACACCGGTCTTGAAAGACCTACATTGGTTCCCAGTATGTTTCTGGGCAAAATTCAAAGTGTTGGTGCTGACCTTGAAAGCCCTAAATGGCCTCAAAGACACAGTATACCTGAAGGAGCATCTCCACCTCCATCGTTCAGCCCGGACACTGAGGTCCAGCACCGAGGGCCTTCTGACGGTTCCCTCCCTGCGAGAAGCCAAGTTACAGGGAACCAGGCAGAGGGCCTTCTTGGTAGTGGCGCCCACACTGTGGAATGCCCTCCCTCCAGATGTCAAAGAGAACAACAACTACCAGACTTTTAGAAGACATCTGAAGGCAGCCCTGTTTAGGGAAGCCTTTAATATTTGATGAATTATTGTATTTTTATATTTTGCTGGAAGCCACCCAGAGTGGCTGGGGAAACCCAGCCAGATGGGCGGGGTATAAATAAAATTATTATTATTATTATTATTATTATTATTATTATTATTATTATGTCATTGGGCTGATCCAGCAGTCAGGCTGTTCTTATGGAGCCTCCAGGTCCTGAGACAGTCTGTCTAGATTCTTGGGTTCTTTGGGGCATTTGACCATTGTGAGAACAGGAGGCTGGACCAGATGGCTGGACCCTTTGGCAGCTGACCCAGCCTGCTCTGCTTATGTTCTTAATAATAATAATAATAATAATAATAATAATAAATTTTATTTATACCCCGCCCTCCCCAGCCAAGACCGGGCTCAGGGCGGCTAACACTCGATATAAAAACAAATTGATTGAGACACAACTTAAAAACAAGATTAAAATACAACATTAAAACATTAAAATTAAAATACAGCCTCATTTCAATGGAAACTCAAATCAAAAACTTTTTTGGGGATGAAAACGTCAAGTCTTCACCAAGGCCAACTATCCAGACTGGTCCTACATGGGCCAGAAGAAAGCTGGGGAAGTCTTAGGCTGCCGCTCAATGCTGGCAGACGTGTGCTTACTTTGCACATGCTCAGAGGGACTCCTCTTGGTTCAGCCTGCCTTGCCCTCATGAGTAGGTCCTGGGGCTGAGCCGTGGCGGGTGGGCGGCTGGTCCGTCGGGTGGTGTTGGGATCCCATCGCCCGCTGTCTCCTTTGCCCCAGGAGCTGCGTAGCCGGGAGGAGGAGCTTCTTCGGGCGGCTGAGGAGCAGAAGACTCAGGAAGCCGAGCTGCGCCGGCGGGAGCAGGAGCTGGCTGAGCGGGAGATCGACATCGTGGAGCGGGAGCTGAACCTCATCATGATGCAGGTGGGCCAAGAGAAGCCCCGCGTCAAGAAGAGGAAGGGCCACTTCCGGTGCTCCCGCCTCAAGCTGCGAGACGGGAGCCGCATCAGCCTCCCTTCAGGTACGGGCCGGCAGCCGCCGGGAGCAGAGCGCTGGCTTGGCCGGCCAAAGAGCCTGGAGGGTGGAGGGCGGGCCGCCGGTCCAAAAGGGTCGCTTGCAGCACCACAACTGTGGAACTCCCTGCCGATTGATATTTAGGCAGGCTCCTTCTCTGGACTCATTTCGGCTGCTGAAATCATTTTTGTTTAGACAAGCCCGGCCAGGTGTTTTAAGAAGCTGAATCGAGTTCTAATTTGCATTGTGTCTATTGCTATTTTCACTTTCCAAGTGAAAGTGGGTGGTGGTTTGTTTTGTTTTTTGTTTTGTTTTGGTAAAGTGTTTATTTATTTCATCTTATAATGTATTTACAGGAAACAATTAAAGTCGTTTTTCTTTTGACAAGCTTTTCCAACTAGGTGAAAGAGCCTCTGCCTTAGATGTTCCTTTTGTATTATTTTTAAACCTGTCTTTTTCGTCCAGTTGCCGAAGCCGTTTTTAGCTGTTTTTAATAGCGCATTTGTAAAATCACCTTAGGGACACGGGTGGCGCTGTGGGTTAAACCACAGAACCTAGGGCTTGCCGATCAGAAGGTCGGAGGTTCGAATCCCCACGGCGGGGTGAGCTCCCATTGCTCAGTCCCAGCTCCTGCCAACCTAGCAATTTGAGAGCACATCAAAGTGCAAGTAGATCAATAGGTGCCGCTCCGGCGGGAAGGTAAACGGCGTTTCCGTGCGCTGCTCTGGTTTACCAGAAGCGGCTTAGTCATGCTGGCCACATGACCCGGAAGCTGTACGCTGGCTCCCTCGGCCAGTAAAGTGAAATGAGCGCCGCAACCCCAGAGTCGGCCACGACTGGACCTAATGGTCAGGGGTCCCTTTACCTTTATAATGTACTACCTGCACTTCCAGGAAACAACTAAAGTCATTTTTCTTTTGACAAGCCTTTCCAACTGGGTGAAAGAGCCTCTGCCTTAGATGTTCCTTTTGTATTATTTTTAAACCTGTCTTTTCCGTCCAGTTGCCTTAGCTGTTTTTAACAGCATGTTTGTAAAATCGCCTTGGGACTACTGTAAACGGCAATTCATAAATTCAGCCCCAAAGAGAGCTCTGGCTGGCAAAAGGCAGTCTGGGGAGTCTCCAAAGCTCTCTTAATCCTTGCCCATCTCATCCCTTGGTCTCCTAGATCCGCAGGTTTGTAGAATTAAGAACACCTGGTGAAAAGCAGGAGGGCCATGATCCGGCCTTGAGGGTGGGTGGAGGGGCAGGCCAGGGACTGACGCCTCCTCTGTCTCCTTCCTCCCCATCTAGGCTTTGAGCACAAGATCACGGTGCAGGCCTCTCCCACTCTCGACCGGCGGAAAGGCCTGGGGGCCAACGGCGCCAGTCCCCCCGCAAGCCCCATCAGCATCCCACGGCTGCGGGCCATCCGCCGTGAGTGTCTGCGCACAGAAATACAAAACTGTAGAGTCAGAAGGGGCCCCCAAGGGCCATCTAGTCCAACCCCCTGCAATGCAGGAATCCCAATTAGATCATCCATGACAGGTGGACACACCCCCAGCCTCTGCTTAGAAACTGCCAAGAAAGAGAGTCCGCCACCTTCCATCCCACGGCCGAACAGCTCTTACTGTCAGAAAGTTCTTCCTGGTGTTTAGTCGGAATCTCCTTTCTTTGTAACCTGAAGCCATGGGTTCGAGTCCTACCCTCCAGAGCAAACTTGCCCCACCTTCCATGGGACAGCCGTTGAGATATTTGAAGATGTCCATCATATCTCCTCCTGGTCCCCTCTTTTCCTGGCTAAGCGTCTTGGGTGGCCATCACCCCCCAAGGTTGGTTGGTTGGAGGCTGGTATTTTTCGGAGGCCCAGCGACGCATGTGTGCCCGCCCCCCCGCCAGTCTTGCAAGGGATGCATCTCTTGGCTCGCAGGCTGAGGCTTCTACTGCTCCCCCTTCCTGAATATTCTGAGCACCCAAGATCCCACCGGGCAAAAGGGGAATTCGGTGGCTCAGTTTCATTTTTTTCTATTTTTAAAATATGTTTTGTGGCCTTGCGGCTGCAGATATCTATTTTTATGAACTGCACCCAACCCTGTCAAGGGCAACTCACACCATAAAATCATGGAAAACGTCACCCTAACGTTTAATAATAATAATAATAATAATAATAATTTATTATTTATACCCCACCCATCTGGCTGGGTTTCCCCAGCCACTCCAGGCGGCTTCCAACAGAACACCAAAATACAATAACCTATTAAACATTAAAAGCATCCCTAAACAGGGCTGCCTTCAGATGTCTTCTAAAAGTCTGGTAGTTGTTGTTCTCTTTGACATCTGGTGGGAGGGTGTTCCACAGGGTGGGTGCCACTACCAAGAAGGCCCTCTGCCTGGTTCACTGCAACTTGGCTTCTCGCAGTGAGGGAACCGCCAGAAGGCCCTTGGAGCTGGACCTCAGTGTCCGGGCAGAATGATAGGGGTGGAGACGCTCCTTCAAGTATACTGGACCGAGGCTGTTTAGGGCTTTAAAGGTCAGCACCAACACTTTGAATTGTGCTTGGAAACGTCCTGAGAGCCAATGTAGGTCTTTCAGGACCGGTCTTATGTGGTCTCGGCGGCTGCTCCCAGTCACCAGTCTAGCTGCCGCATTCTGGATTAGTTGTAGTTTCCGGGTCACCTTCAAAGGTAGCCCCACGTAGAGCGCATTGCAGTAGGCCAAGCAAGAGATAACGAGCGCCATCGTAACAACCACAGGACTCACTATGCTTTTGGCCCCAACAAAAAACCCAAATTCAAGCGTTCAAGATCCGCCGGGTAGTTTTATCCCAGTTTCCTACGGGCTGCCCAGACAGGCCAGATCTGATAGGGTTTCCCTTGTAAGAGCAATGGTGAGGTACGATGGGCCAGTCTGTAAAATTGGCCGCCTCTAACCTGGGACAAGGACAGTGGGGGGGGGGGCGCTGTTGAAACCAGAGGAAGGAGCGCCTGATCTCCTCCCCTTCCTGCTCTCTCCCCCCTCCTCTCTGGTGTTGCAGTGACCCCCCTGGACGGGACCCGGACGTGGGGACGCAGCAGCTTGGTGAAGAAGGAGGAGCTGGTGGGGAGCAAGAAGAAAGGCAGGACGTGGGGGCCCAGCTCCACCCTCCATAAGGAGAGGCTGGGAGGGGAGGAGAGGTAAGCAAAGCGGGGGGGGGGCATGGCTGTGGCAAGGGAAGGGTTAAGGGGGGAGGGGGTTCCAGCCCCCTCATAGGATGAGTGAAAGAGGGCCTTGCAAGGGAGGAGGAAAGCGCAGGGTGGTAGTGTTGGAAGGGACCCCCTGCGGTCATCTAGCCCAACCCCCCGCAAGGCAGGAATCGCAGCTAAAGAATCGCAGAATTGTTGAGTCCCACAGGTTCGCGAAGGAGGTAGTGGGAAAAAGACAGGACGGAACCAAAAAATTACACAAAACAAATGAAATGTCATGAAAATCCCTGAAACGAGAAGTAATCGGATATAGAGTTAAGCTAAATAACAAAAATCAAAAAGTCAAGGGGGAAAATTAACCTAGAATGAAACAAAGACTTAACGAGATGTCGGCTACAAAACTCATTTCACTGAACTAATCTGTTTCCTCAGAAGGAAATAAAGAAATTATAAACCTTAAAAACTTGTCATTGAGGTTTTCATACCTTTTTTATAAACGCAGTGAAGCGTTTCAGCCCTGCTCTTGAGTTTGGTTAAAATCATTTAAGGTTTATAATTTCTTTATTTCCTTCTGAGGAAACGGATTAGTTCAGTGAAACGAGTTTTGTAGCCAGCATCTCGTTAAGTCTTTGTTTAATTCTAGGTTAATTTTTCCCCTTGACTTTTTGATTTTTGTTATTTAGTTTCACTCTATATCTGATTGCCGTATTTTTCGCTCCATAAGACGCACCTGACCATAAGACGCACCTAGTTTTTAGAGGAGGAAAACAAGAAAAAAAATATTCTGAACGAAACAGTGGATGTATGATTTTTGTGGTTCATGCTGTGGCCACAGACATAGGATTTGACGGTGAGTTTGGGGTAGCCCAATGCAAAAATCCTGAGAATCCATGTGGATCCATGCTTTGTAACCACGTTTTTGCACCATTGTGGCCCCATGAAACAATGGATGCGTGTTTTTTTGGTGCAGGCTATAGCCATGGACATGCTATGTGATCTGATGCTGAATTTGGCATGACCCAATGCAAAAATCCTGAGAATCCATGTGCTTTTACCTCCTCCCTCCCAGGCAGCCTCCTTTATCTCTAGAGTCCCTTATCTCCCTCCCGATCCCTTGCTGATCAGCTGATCAGCGGATTTGTTTCAACACCCCCTTCCCTCTTTCTAAAAAATAAAGCATGATTTGCTTTTTGCCCCTTGGCAATTCGGCTCCAGGGACAACGCATTCGCTCCATAAGACGTACAGACATTTCCCCTTACTTTTTAGGAGGAAAAAAGTGTGTGTTATGGAGCGAAAAATACGGTACTTCTCATTTCAGGGATTTCACGGCATTTCATTTGTTTCCTGCGAAGGAGGAGACTTCTGGTATTGGAAGTGGGGTGGGGGGGCCAACCAGGCAGCTGCCCACCTGAAGCGGCTGGAGGGTGGGGCAGAAGGCAGGGAGTTGACCCTTCCTCTCCATCATCATCACCATCTGCTGATTCACAGGTTGAAGTCCCTGGCGGAGGGGAGCAAGCAGTGGTCGTCCAGTGCCCCCAACCTGGGCAAGTCCCCCAAGCACGCCCCTCTGGTGGTGGGTTTCGCCAGCCTCACAGAGATGGGTAAGTAGGTCCTCCACTTCAGGGAAGAAGCAGAGGGGTTGGGGGCTGCCCTGGGGTCGGCCACCTTTCGCTGGAGGGGACAAGCCCTTGAGCATCTTCCTTTGTGGGGGCCAGTCTGGTGGAAAGCAGCAGGAGGACAAAATTGGGGAAGGGGCCTTGATGTCTTCCCCCTCCTCTAACCTGACCTGCCTTTCTCCCTCTACAGAGGAATACGCAGAGCAGGAAGGGGGCAGCAGCAGCCCCTGCTCCCCCTACCTGCCCCTCTCGCCGCCCCCCGGGGCCGAAGGTGCCACCAGCCTGCCACCGGAAGGTCCCAAGCGGCGGGCGCCCCCCTGCCACCGCCGCAGTGAACTGGTCCTGCTGGGCTGCGCCTCCATCTTGGCCTCCATCGCTCTGGGGGGAGACCTAGCTGAGCTGGCAGGGGACGGGGCATCCGGGGGCGGCCTGTCAGGGCCCCCTAGCTCCACCACGCTCCTGTCCCTCTCCTCGCTCTCCGACTGCAACTCCACCAAGTCCCTGCTGCCCTCAGACAGCGATGAGGCCCCCGCCTGCGGGCCCCCTGAGAGCCCCCCGCCCAGGGGCCCCCGCCACAACCCCCTGGTGGACGTCACGGTGGAGAGCTTCAAGAAGGACCCCCGCCAGTCGCTCACCCCCACCCACGTCAGCGCCACCAGGGCCGTCAGCCGCGGGCACCGCCGGACGCCCTCGGATGGGGCCATCCGTCAGGGGCCACCGGGGCCCGAATGCCAGGGTGAGTGCTGGGGCGGACGGCTTGATCGGAATGGGGAGGGGGGCTTCTCTCCAGGGCCCTGGATGTGCTGAGCACCAGTCAGTTTTCCTGGGGGAGTGAATGGGTGCAGGCCAGAAGAAGACCTGAGGTGGAAGGGGCTCTGGAATTGGTCCTGAGCCCCAGACATGGCTAGGCTGGGGGTGGGGAGAGCCTGTTTCGCCTCCTTCTGTAAAATTAGTATTTTGTTTATTGGGGGGGACCTGTACGGCCTAGGACCCTCGTACCTACAGGACCACCTCTCCTGGTATGTCCCACGGAGGACCTTACAGTCTTAAAACAAAAACACCTTGGAGGTCCCGGGCCACAGGGAGGTTAGGCTGGCCTCAACCAGAGCCAGGGCTTTTTTGGCCGTGGCCCCGATCTGGTGGAACGCTGTGTCACAAGAGACTGGGGCCCTATGGGACTTGACATCTTTCCGCAGGGCCTGCAAGACTGAGCTGTTCCACCAGGCCTTTGGCCAAGGCACAGTCTGACCCCCTCCTTTGGTAATCCTCACAGAACTCTAACCCAATGGTTGCCATTAATTTGATTTTGAATTGATTTTAAAATGAATTGATTTTAGAATGCTGCGTTACTTTTATTGTTCTCACCCGCTCTGAGCCCAGCTTCAGCTGGGGAGGGTAGGATATAAATAAATTATTATTATTATTATTATTATTATTATTATTATTATTATGAAGTTATAATAGAAATACAGACTTGGGAGGGAATTCAAAAACACCTGACCTCTTGTTTAAAAATATCAGGGAAGGTGCAGTATGGTCAAAGGCTAGCCACTTAGGGTGGGAAAAGATAAATATCTGCAGCAAAAGTTTCCCCAACATTTTGTATATTTCTTGGGGGGGCGGGGGGGCAGAATCCCCCAGAAAGCAAGACACACGCAGCTCCCTCTCCTGCCCGCCATGATGATTCTCCTTTCCCCTCCCCAGGCTCGCAAGAAGCGCCGCCCTTCCCTCGCCTGCCCGACCCCCCCTCGCTCGTCCCAGCCCACCGCAAGGCCACAGAGCACCCCAACGCCTCCCTGTCGCCGGTGGAGCGCCCCCGGACCCTGGCCTTTGCCCCCCGGCCTCGCCCGGCAGCAGGGCGCCACCGCATCGACCCCTGGAAGCTGGTCTCCTTTGTCCGGACGCAGGGGGGGCCCTCCTCTTCCTCGCCGGGTGAGCCCGCCAAGGGGGCCCGGCAGACCCTTCTCGACATGGACATGGAGGGGCAGACCCGGGACAGCACCGTCCCCCTATGTGGGGGTCAGGCCCCCTGCTGCGGCGGGCTGGAGGGAGACATCTCACACTGATGTGGCATCCCTCTATGGACTGGGCCCACCCCACACCGGCTCGGGGGGGGGGAGCTGCGTCTCTCTGGGTCCCGGAGATGGGTGGACCATGCGGGGCGCTGTATTTATTGATTCTGGGGATTCCCAGGCACTTAAGTGACGAGCCAAAAGGACAGCTCTTTTCCATACAATGCAACAGCCCAGCCAGTTGGGGGCGCTGGGCTGACGTTCTGCCCCACGGGTGTGTGTCTGTGTGCGTGAGAGAGAGAGAGAGCGTGAGAGAGCCAGTTTGATCTTCAGCCTCTCTGGAGTCGCATCTGATCCACGCACCTCTTGTGATTCCACTCGTTACGTTGCTTTTTTTTATATAAAAAAGGGTTTGAGTCAGAGAAGATGTCTGCCTGCCTTTTCTTTGCCGCTCGGCAGAATTCCGCCAGGATCCTGCATCCTTTAGGAGGGACCTTAAGGGTGCAGACCCATTCCCAGTCTCCCGGTCATAGCTGTCAACATTTCCCATTTTTAAAGGGAAATTCCCTTATTCCGAATAGGATTCCTCGCAAGAAAAGGGAAAAGTTGACAGCTATGATCCTGGTTGGTTGGTTGGTGTTCCTTACATCTCCATCCTGCCTTTCCTCAGAGTATCATAGAATTCTGGAGTTTGAAGGGGCCCCCCAAAGGCCATCTAGTCCAACCCCCTGCAATGAAGGAATCACAATGAAAGAATCCTTGGAGGGCAGCCGTCCAACGTCTGCTTAGAAACCTCCAACGAATGAGAGTCTGCCACCTTCTACCAAGGGAGTCCTTTCCACTGTTCCTGATGTTCAGTCGGAATCTCCTCTCTTGTAAGCCATGGGTTCGAGTCCTACCCTCCAGAGCAGGAGAAGAGAAGCTTGCTCTATCTTCCATGGGACAGCCCTTGAGATGTTTGAAGATGGCGATAATATCTCCTCTTCTCCAGGCTAAATGGACCCAACTCCTTCAGCTGCTCCTGATAAGGCCGGGTCTCCAGACCTTTGGTCATCTTGGTCATTGAAACAGGAGCTCAGAGTGGCAAATATACATGGCTTTCTCCCCTACACACACACACACACACACACACACACACACACACACTTACTTTAACCTCCTGGCAACCCTGTTAAATAGGTTAGGTATCCAGCGAGCTGCACAGAGATGGGAATTTGAGTTTTCCTAGGCCTCCAACCACTCAACCACACTGCCCCATACTTTGTTAGAGCTGGTAGGGGTTATACAAACACACACACCAGGGACTCTAGCGATACAGAACATCTCCTCCTCCGCTCCCTGCCCTTGACACAGTGTAAGACGCTGTTTTAAAGCCACGAGGGAAGGATTTCTTTGCTGTTGTGAAAAAACAGCATGTCCCCCCCACCCAAAGTCACTACCGCCTCAGATACCTCCGTGGCTCCCCCACCCCCACCCCCCTGTTTCTAAATGCCATTGGGCCCGGGTTCGAGGGCAAGAAAGGGCTTCGTCTTATCCAGCGCCTGTTTTCGAGAGGCAGCACAAAGAATGCCGTAAGATGAAACTTTGGTTTTTCATTTAGAGAAAAAGGTGAATGAGAAGAGAAAGGGTAGAATGCTATAAAATGGCAAGGTGACAGCGGATGGAGAAAGGTTTTCCTCACATGGAACTAGGCATCCATTGAATTTTGGAAGATTTGGGACGGATAAAAAGAAGCACTTTTTTATAGAGTGCATAGTTAAACTGTGATACTCCCTGTGGAGCAGTTCTCGCACTTGGCTCCTGCTTCCGGACTTCCCACTGTGAGAAGAGGATGCTGGACTCGAGGGGCCGTTGGGCCTCATCCAGCAACAGGGCTCTTTTCCTAAAATCTTTATTTGCTGTTACAGTGGTACCTCAGGTTAAGTACTTAATTCATTCCGGAAGTCTGTTCTTAACCTGGAACTGTTCTTAACCTGAAACACAACTTTAGCTAATGGGGCCTCCTGCTGCTGCCGCGCCACTGGAGCACGATTTCTGTTCTCATCCTGAAGCAAAGTACTTAACCTGAAGCACTATTTCTGGGTTAGAAGAGTCTGTAACCTGAAGCGTATGTAACCCGAGGTACCACTGTATTTACGGCCATTCTTTCAACCAGAGGAGCTGTACAACTTGAGACATCTCCTTTTGGAAATTAAGCTTGGCGCTGCGGGGAGAGACCGCTCTCTCTGCTGCCCACCCACCTTCGATTGGCTAACAGGTGCTAACCTAAAGGAGAGCCAGGACCCCTGGGTTCCGTTCCCAGGGCTCCAGCCACCCACCCCCACCCCATTCCTTCATCCCAAACAGCAGTCTCGGCAGCGCATGGACTGAGCATCTCTCTCGCCCTTCTTCCTTAGCGATCCCAGTCACCATAGCAACAGCGGGTACCAAAGGCAGGCAGCTGCAGCAGCAATTCTGGGGATGGAGGCAGAGGTGAGAAGGCACCGTGGCTGCAGGAATATCCTCACAGAGATGGATGGCGGCATTAAACTCTCCCGTAGTGCAAGGTCTCCTCCAGTTCTTTCTCATGCATCACACACACACACACACACACACACACACACACACACATCACCTCTGTACTGGGTTTAATCCGGGGCCGACAGCTCCTGCCTGGCCCCATAAGCACCACAAACAAGGCCTAGGACAGTGGACTTAAAAGGGATCCCCAAAAGCACCGCAGCTACTCCTGGTTAGGGCAGCAGGTGTGGGATAAATGGATCTCAGGGATATCTGGGTTACGCAGTCTTGAGAATCCATCCATACCGAGATGGATTGCAAACGGGTGTTTCTGTCTCTTTAGCAATCTCTCTGCCAGTGTCGGAGGCCAGGCTGGAACTCCCTGGGTAGCTGGGAGCTGTTTCATCTGTTCTGACCCACTTAAGGGTCTCTCTTGCCCACCCACCCTAACTCCCCATCTCCTGAAATTCCCACAAAGAGATGGGCAAAACTCTACAACGCTGAAACACACACACACAGCCCAGTTCTTGCACAGCTGTCCTCAGTCTCTGCCAGTCCTAGAATCCTAGAATTGTAGCACTGGCAGGGACCTCAAGGGTCATCTAGTCCAACCCCCTGCAATGCAGGAATCTTTCCTGGGCTAGAAGTGGCCCCTCCCTCTGCCCTCTCTGCCTTTCGCTTGCTTTTGGGGAGTGGGTAGTAGGATGGGCTGCAGGCCCTCCCATTGGGGTGGATGTGGCGATTTCTGACTCGAGCGCTGATTTAATTTCACAAGTATCCATTCGTTAGGAACTGCGGTGGCTAAGACCCTCCGCAGTGCGCAAGGAAATTTCTGGTTTGCTCCTCACTCAGCAGCCAGGCAGCCACCAGGTGGCCCTAGGAAGCCCCCTCCACCCCCAGGAAAAGAACAGTGCAGCCTCCCTCGCCAGGCTCCACAGGAAGGAAGGAAACCCCAAAGGCACAGGCTTACTGTCACTTCCCAGAGGCGAGTGTCACTGTGCCGATCAGAAGGTCGGCGGTTCGAATCCCCGCGACGGAGTGAGCTCCCATTGTTCGGTCCCTGCTCCTGCCAACCTAGCAGTTCGAAAGCACAAAGTGCAAGTAGATAAATAGGTACCGCTCCGGCGGGAAGGTAAACGGCGTTTCCGTGCGCTGCTCTGGTTCGCCAGAAGCGGCTTAGTCATGCTGGCCTCATGACCCGGAAGCTGTACACCGGCTCCCTCGGCCAGTAAAGCGAGATGAGCGCCGCAACCCCAGAGTCGGCCACGACTGGACCTAATGGTCAGGGGTTCCTTTACCCTTTACCTTTTTACTGTCACTTCTGTTCCTACCTGGGCAGCACCACAGTTGGGGTGTGTGTGCGTGCGCTGAAACAGCAGCAGTTGCCCAGATGCTGAGTTGCTGAGGTCTGTCACGCGCATAATGCGCAAACTCTGCGGATCCCTAAGTGTGCCGGTGTCGGTTGGCATTGGTCGCTGTGATGTTCGGGCTGAAAAAAGCTTATGAAGGTCCCGGACAATCGACCAGGAGGGAGGGAACATTCCAGTCGGGCATGTGTCTCTGCCAGGGTCCTACTCGAGTGTAGGCTGAACTCCTGACAGCTGGGTGGGGGTGGTACAAGAGGCTGGTGCATCTCATCTGGCCCTGGGGAGCTTTTGGGCGGCCCCACCCTGTGTCCCGGCCATTCTGCAACCTGTCCTATAGGAACGTTGGTAAGCTGAGTTCCTGAGTCAGGCCCTGGGGTCCACCTGGACCAGTGTTGCTTACACTGGCTGGCAGTGGCTCCTCTCCAGGGCTTGAGGCAGGGAGTCTCTCTACCTGGCCCCACCTGAAGACGCCAGCAGGGACTGAATACTTCGGCTGATGCTCCACTGCTGAACAACAGTGATCCTACCTCTCATCTTTCTCTCCCCCCTGCCCCGCCCATAGCTGTCAACTTTTCCCTTTTCTTGCGAGGAATCCTATTCGGAATAAGGGAATTTCCTTTTAAAAAGGGAAAACGTTGACAGATATGTCGCCCCATGACCTCCCAAGGCTGGTGTGAGTAGCACTCCAAATACCAGCGCAGTACTGGGGATCCTGCTCTGCCCTCCCTGCAAAAACCCCTCCCTCAGAAAAAGAGGACTTCAAGGGTGTTAAAAGTCCTGCTCTGCCAAGTTAGCTCCATCCAAGAACAGTGATCAGGGGCTGCCATGGGCCGGGGTCATGGGCTCAGGAATAGCCCCACAAGCCACACTTTGCAGGGTGTTAGGGAGACCTCTGCCCCCAAACGCAGCTTGTCAAATATGTCACTCAGATGAAGGGAGGTGGGTCACTGGGAGGACGGCAGTGCTCTGTTCCTACGGCTCAGGCCTCTGAACATCTTCATTGGGTGTCCGGATGTGACCCTGCCAAATTGGAGGGCCCCCCATGCCTCCAAATGCCACCAGTATTAAGCATGGGGGTGATTTCTGCTGGAACTGTTGGGATGCAACTCAGATTGTATTGAAGGTGGTCTTCAGAGGAGAAAGAGGGAGGGAGGCAGGTAGGACCAGCCAAACTTCCTAGACTGTCCTTCAGCCTGTGTTGACTTTCCCAGAGGTGCAAGGGAGGTGCAAGGGAGCTTTCTGCCTTTGCTCCTCCCTCCTCCCTGTGTAAGGGCCGTGGGTGGCTCTGTGGTCTAAACCACTGAGCCTCTTGAGCTTGCTGATCAGAAGGTCGGTGGTTCAAATCCCCATGACGGGGTGAGCTCCCGTTGTTCGGTCCCTGCTCCTGCCCACCTAGCAGTTCAAAAGCATGCCAGTGCAAGTAGATAAATAGGTACCGCTCCAGCAGGAAGGTAAATGGCATTTCCATACGCTGCTCTGGTTTCACCAGAAGCGGCTTAGTCATGCTGGCCACATGACCCAGAAGCTGTCTGCGGACAAACGCCGGCTCCCTCGGTCTATAGAGCGAGATGAGCGCCGCAACCCCAGAGTCGTCTGCAACTGGACCTAACGGTCAGGGGTACCTTTACCTTTACCTCCCTGTGGAAGGGGAGACATCTCTGTGCGTCTCTTCTGATGAGAACAAAGGGCAGGCTGGTGGGTCTTTGTATCCGCCCCCCCTTAGTGAGACAGAATTCGGATCTTCCCAGTCAAGCATTTTCTTTCCTTTAATAAACTTAGCTTTCTTATTTTCTTAAACTCAGTGTGGTTCTAACCAGGGGTAAAGGGGGGTCCTCCGACCAGCAGGGAAGGCAAGGCTCAGGTCAGCCTCCAAGCTGTGCGTTAACTCGACACACGTCTTCCGGGAGAAGACAGACAGACCAGGAGACCATCATGTTTCTGGACTCTCTCTCTCCTTTGATCTGAGCCAACCCTCTGAAGTGCAATCGTACCCCTGGGGTGCAGCCCTCTGAAGTGCAATCGTACCCCTGGGTTGAAGCTCCCTTCTTGGGAACATTCTGAGCCCTGGTCCAACTGGCTCAGTATGTTCAACATGGCCTGGATGAGGCTCGCCTGGGTCTGGGAATGTCTCCCAGCCCTTCCTGGAGATACTCCCAGCAGGGTTGACCCTGGGGCCTTCTGCATGCAAGGCAGGTGACCTCTCACTGAGCTATGGCCTTTCCCTCCCTCCTTTCGACATCTTGGATCACATCCTCTGAGAACAAGGGAGCAATTACAGCTCCTTGGGACTCTGGTTGAGCTGCTTAGCTTAGAACCAGGAAAGCCTCCCCTACCCAAAATTATCTTTCGTAGAATAAAGGCCTTTGCTATTTTACAAAGGCAATCCCTCTCTCCTAACTAGATTCACAAGCCGGGTGCTTGCTCTGCAAACCAGGTCCAAGAACCTCCTGGATTTCTTGTTTGAGGAAAGCAGGGTGGGGGAAGCTGCTGTCCTCTCCCCCTGTCCTTGCTCCCTGCTGGGGAGGGACAATGGCCAGATCCAGCAGGGCTCCCCTTCGGCCCTTAGCCCCACAACATTTCGTAGAATCATAGAATTGCAGAGTCGGAAGGAGCCCTAAGCACCATCCAGCCAAACCCCCTCCAATGCAGGAATATGCAGCTGACCCGTATGGGTATCGAACCTGCAACCTTGGCTTTATCAGCACCATGCTCTAACCAACTGAGCTACTGAAGCAAAGAGCTAGGGGCTGCCTCTTCACACCTGTGGGGTGGCTGGGAGCTCAGAGGGGAAGCGATCCTTTCTGGAGGCGAACAGGGTGCCATGAGGGTGCTCAGGAAGGGAGGAGAGATGTAAATAGAGGGGAAAGGACACCCTGACCCCAGACTGTAACAGGGCACTTGTTCTCAGCCCCCACCATCTTCTGCTTAGTTTTTTTTGGGGGGGGGAGGGGGACAGACATCTGCTCTAAAGGCTGACTTCAACTCTCCCCAATGGCACCCTGATCTGCTCCTTCTGGGGTGCCCCTCTCTGCTCCCAGTGCCCCATAGCCAATCCAACAGAGGCACATCTTGCAAATTCTCTCGGGGTTTTTTGTTTTGTTTTTTTGGTTTGGTTTAGGTTTTGTTTTTATATAGAAAAAGGCAAAGCAGAAAGAAGCAGCCCCCAACAGTGTTTTGGCAAAATGCTACATGGTCAAGACCCGATCTGTCCTTCGTGGGCGGCATAGCTCTGAGCTGGGGGTTCTCTGGCCGCCGTGGCACCTGCCAGGGGCTCGCTGGGCACCTGGCGGCATCTTCCTGGGTCCTGGAGTGCAGCGGGTGGTGGGTTCAGGGCACGGCTGGCACCACGTGTAGAAGCCTCTGTCTCCGATGGGGCAGCTATGCAATCATCTCCTTCTCCCGCTGGCTGCAGCGGCTGATCTTAATCTCTGTCAGCTGGATGTAGCGTAAGACGTTGGTGTCTGCAAGGAAAGGGAGAGGCAGAGCCTGAGAGGAGGAGGAGGAGGAAGAAGAGGAGGAGGAAGAAGAGGAGGAGCCACCGCAGCTCTCCCTTCCCTGACCACATCCTGGAAACCTAAGACAAGTCCTCCTGCCCAGGGCCAACCCTCCCCAGCTGGTTCAGCCAGGCCCCATTCAGGGAGGGGTCCTTCCCAGCCAGCCCTCCTAGTCATGGTCCTTTTAAGCTTTATGTGCAGCCAGGGGGTTGAACCCAAAACATCTGCACCCCAAAGGTGCGCTGTGCCACCGAGCTGTGATTTCAGGCCTTGCCACCTTCCCTTTCCACAGCCAAGCAGGCCCCCTGCCTCTCCCTCCCAGCAAGGCACAAGCAAGTGAAATAAAAAAAGTTAAGGTCTTATATATATATAAAATAAATATTCATAACTGCATATATAAACCACATGTCTGAAACCCCACAGAAAAAGTCCTGAAACCATTTTGTCCCTCCCAAATTGACCTCAAATATTTCTCTGCAAGGTTGAAGGAAAATGGAAAAGCCTCCCCATTGTCTTTTCCTTCACAAATCCTGTCTTAAGGGTATGTCTGTGTATGAATAGGGTGAGCTTGTGAGCTGGCTCAGGAACTAAGTATTTGTCATTACGAAAGACTCGCCAGGCTCCCCAGGGTATCCAATCAAGTGAGCATTAACAGGTAACCTGCCAGACAGGAGATAAAAAACACACTCAGATTTCTGTTATAGACCGCCTCTTCTGTGATGTAGGTATGATGTTTCTGGGGGTGGTCTTTGACTCCAAGGTGGGCAATTTAAAATGTCTATATAAGGGTGGACACACCTGGGTTCTGGGTCCCCCTCCTCCTGTGTGTGAAGGGGGCACCCTGTTGCAATAGTTCAATAAAGATCAGGCTTACCAGCTGCTTTGCTTCTCAATATTCTCTGGTTGGCCTCTGTTCTTTTCTCTGACCGATGGAGAACCTACAAAGGACTCTATAAGGGCTATAAGGGAATAAGGGCAGGTTTTTGTTTATTACACAAGGCACCCACCTTCCTATGAAGAAAGCTTGGAGTGTTTGGGGCTTCTTAGCTCAGAGGAAAGGCAGGTGAGAGACAACGTGATAAGGAGTTTATCAAATTAGGCAGAGAAATGCTAGAAGTCGTGGGGAAGCTGAATATTGGAAGAGCCTGGGCAGGTAAAAGAAAGCCCTCTTTTTACCTATGGAACTCTCTGCCACAGGAGGCAGAGGTGGCTTTAAAATAAGATTAGACTAATTCATGTAGGAGGAGAGGGCTTTGGATGGCTACTCGCCAGGATGATTGTTCTCTGCCTCCACTGTCAGAGGCAGCTGTTGTAAACAAAAAATTGCCCTTTTCCCTTATGGGGTATCCAAGAGCCCATATAGAGTCCTTACATAGGTTCCCTATTGGTAGGAGAGAATAACAGAGGCCAACCAGAGAATATTGAGAAGCAAAGCAGCTCGTAAGCCTGATCTTTATTGATCTGTTGCAACAGGGTGCTCCCTTCACACACAGGAAAGGAGGAGGACCCAGAAAAATGGCATGCAAGGCCTTATAAAGACTTTTGAAATTGCCACCCTGTAGATCAAGACCACCCCCAGAAACTGTTGGTTTCTGCTTTCCTTCACTGTGCAGCAACTGCTGTCATGAGACAGGTGTTTACATTCCACAGTCTGTACTGTTGGAGTTTCTCACGGGAAAGGGAAACTGGATGTGACGTACACTGGTTTCCTGTTTTTCACTGTGTGATTCTCTCCGAGCTGAGAGAGGAGAGAGGATGCATTTTCTGCTCCTGCAGAGGCAAGATGTCTTTCTGTAATATACCAGCTTTGAACTGTAAATAAAGCAATATAGAGTATGTAGCACGTATTACTCATCCTTCCGCTGGGCACGACAGACTCTGTTTAAATCAACACGTGGTTATGGACTCCAGAGGTCGAATCGGAGTGCCGGCAAAGGATCGGAATGCAGAGGGACGGATCGGAAAGGAATCTGCTCTGCGCGTAGAAGTGATTGATGAGGTATGTGCTACTGCTCCGGGCAGCCTGCCAGCTTCAAGTTAATGGCTTTATGGCTGGACTTTGAACTTTTAAAGCCGGTTTTGCCGGGAAAAGGCAAAGGCTCCCAGGCACAAGTCACTATGCTGGGGAAATCGAAAGTAACTTTTAAGTGTGCCTTTGTAATGAGGCAGCTGCAGCAGTGACGCAGCAAGATTTAAAGCAGCATATGACGCTGAAGGCTAATGCCAGAGTCATGATGGCCCTTCAGGATGCTTGTGGGATTCCTAAGCTCAACAAGAAAAATTACAGCGACTGGGTTCAGTATGCAGAGGCAATTCTGCAGAAAGAGGGTTTGTTTGAGGTGATTACAGAAACCCCCCCAGTTCCAGTTACAGATGCATGGGAAGCTAAGGATTCCAAAGCAAGGGGAACTCTTACATTGATAGTATCCCCAGAAGAGCTCTGTCTATTGCGTGATAAGACCTCAGCCAGAGAAATTTGGGACGCTCTGAGAGAGGCTCACTTAAGGACAGAAGCTGGATCCACTATGTTTTACTTTAACAAGCTGCATAATATGGCTCTTGCTGAAGGTGGAGATGTGCGTTTACATCTGATGCAGATGCAAAATCTGAGACATGAGCTGCAACAGAGAGGACTCAACTTTCCAGAGGCTGTGTATTCTTTCATGATACTACAATCTTTGGGTTCAGGTTGGGAGTCTGTTGCAACCCAGATTGCTGTGCAACCAACTGCTCAGCTGACAGTGGACTTTGTTACTGCCGTGATTTTAAATGAAGCAGATCGCCGGGTGCTAGCTGCATGGGCAAGGGGAGTCTTCACAGACGTCATCCCATAGTGCAGTGGAACCACCAGATGGCGCCATAGCTTTGAAGGCAGTGAAATGCTACTCGTGTGGACGTCTAGGCCATATGAAGAGGGAATGCAGACATCCCAGGGCCAAGACAGAGCAGCGCAGCGAAAGCTCATCGCGCGGAAAAGGCCGAGGCAAAGGCAAAGGTCCGGTGTCTAGGACAACGCAGCACAAGGCTATGGTTTCACGCTTCACTCCAAAGGTTGCAGAGGTCCAGAAGACGTCTAGATCTTTCTTCGTTGTTGATTCAGCGGCCACCCACCACATGTGCAACGATAAGAAACTGTTTGTGTCTTTTACACCGCAGGAAGGTGCGATTCACCAGGCGGATGACCACACTATTCCCAGTAAAGGCTACGGAACTGTTGTTCTTCACAGTTTGGACTTATCGATACAGAATGTGCTTTACGTGCCAGACGCCAAACATAATCTGCTCAGCGTTGGACAGCTGAATGAGCGGAACATTGACGTTTCCTTCAAGAACAAGAAGTGCATCATCACAAAGAAAAATGATTATGTATTGCATGCAGAATATGTTGATCATTTGTTTGTTTTGTATTATGATGATGTGGTGCAGGATGACACTTGTTGCATTGCAGGTTCTAACAAAAGTTTGCATGCAGAATGTATTCACGATTTTCATCGCAAATTTGGTCATTTGCATTTTGAGGCAGTATCTAAAATGCCTGCCTTGGTTGAAGGTATGACTATTAAACCCTGCAGGTACCACATGAAGTGCAAAGCATGCGCAGCAAACAAAGTGAAAATGGCTGCGAAAGGTAAGGTGTCTAGTAGGAAAGCTACAGAACCATACCAGGTTGTTCATGCTGATTTGGTTGGACCACTATCGCCCTCTTTGGGTGGAAATAGATACTTCATGGTTCTCATTGATGCATTTTCTAGATATATTTTTGTGTACAATCTCAAGCAGAAATCGGAGGCTTTTCCTAGGTTCAAGGAATTCTGTGCTTGGTTGGAAAATGTGCATGGTAAGAAGATAAAGACTCTTTTCAGTGATCGCGGGGGGGAATTCACTTCTCAGCAGTTTGAAGCTTTTCTGACTGAGAAAGGAATTCAACACGATTTGTCTAGTCCTCGCTCGCCATGGCAGAATGGACTTGCGGAACGGGCAAATCAGACATTGCTTCAAGGATTAAAAACCTTGCTGCATGATGCCAATCTTCCAGAGAGTTATTGGGCCGAATCTCTCTCGTGTTTTGTTTACAGTTACAATCGCAGGTTATCTTCAGCGATTGGATGTACCTCTATGAGAAGATGTTTGGCAAGAAGCCATACATCAAACACATGAAGATTTTGGTTCTGACATGTGGGTTCACTCACCACAAAACTCCAAGTTAGACAAGCGTGGATTGCATGGTATCTTTCTAGGTTATCAGAAAGGGTCTTACAGAATAATGATGACTGACTCTAAGACAATTAAGCTCACGAGAAGTGTTGAGTACAATGCAAAGTGGGGGAGAATGTGGGAATTTTCCAATGTTATCCTGATGACGGTGATGAGACTGAGGATAGTCAAAAGCAACCACAACAGCCCACACCCACTGATGAAGGTTCTGAGTCTGAATCTGAAACTGAATCGGGTGATTCAGAGGATTTCAAGAGTGCGAAAGCCTCTATGCGACCCTCTGAAAGCTCTGATCAAGAATTGGAGGAACCATTGTTCACAATAGGTCGTTTTTCTCCTAAGAAGGAAGAGGAGAGTGTTGAAGACTTAAGGCTAATTCGTAGGTCACAGAGAGCCACAAAAGGCAAACCTCCAAAGAGATTTGCTGATGAGTTTGCTACGATAGCAGTAACAGCTGTTAAAAGCTCCAAGAAGGTATTTGAACCTTCAAGTTTCCAAGAAATCCAGGGTTTGGATTCAAAGGAAGCTGAGCCATGGTTAAATGCCATGAAGGCTGAGCTTGATTCCTTAGAAAGGAACAAAACATGGGAGCTAGTTCCAGTAGTTCCAGGAATGAAACTGCTTGGAAGCAAATGGGTCTTCAAAGCGAAGACAGATCAAAATGGCAAGATAGTCAGACACAAAGCCAGATTGGTAGCCAGAGGTTTTGCACAGGTACCAGGTGAAGACTATCACGAGACCTATTCACCCACAGTGAGATATGAAAGCATTAGGCTTATGCTCAAGCTAGCTGCAGAGGAAAATCTACACATTAGTCACCATGATATTAATACAGCTTTTCTGTACGGATCTCTAGATGAATCACTTTATATGCTTCCACCTGATGGCGTACAGGTAAAACAGGGATTTGTTTGTGCTCTGAAGAAATCCCTTTATGGTCTCAAACAAAGTGCACGGTGTTGGCACACAAAACTCACTGAAGTATTGTTTTCTCTAGGTTTTCAGCAAGGGAAAGCTGATCCATGTGTATTTGTCAAAGAGGAGGGGCAAAAGAAACTGTACTGTTTGTTTTATGTTGATGATTTATTATTCTTTTGGAAAGATGTTGCGATGTACAATAGCGCCCTAGCTCAACTGAAAGAGCACTTTGACATGAAAGATCTTGGTGAGGTAAACAACTACCTATCTCTGGAAATAGAGAGAGATCAAGATGGTAACATTCTAGTACACCAGTCACGGAAAATTGCTGATGTGTTAAGCAAACTAAATCTGATGGATGCTAACCCTGTAGACACACCGATGACAACAGGTTATCAGGTAGATGACACTGAAGAAGCATTTTCTGACACTACACTGTACAGGAGTGTGCTAGGCAAGCTAAACTTCATTGCCAGATGTTCAAGACCAGACATTGCTGTTAGCTGTAATTTGCTAAGCAGACAGGTCAACAATCCTAGTGTCAAGGATTGGAAAGCTCTGAAACGCATAGCGCGGTATTTGAAAGGCACTATGCATTACAGACTGAGATTTAACAATCAGAAGTCTGGTGGTCTTGAGATATTTGCAGATGCAAGTTTTGGAAGTGACACTACAGACAGGAAAAGTACGTCTGGAGTTTGCTACATATACAATCAGAGTCTGTTTGATTGGTCATGCAAGAAGCAAACAACAGTTAGCTTAAGTACTTGTGAAGCTGAACTGAATGCACTGTCTTATTCACTTAAGGATTGTGAATGGTTAGTACAATTGTGCAAAGATATGAAAATTCCTGTCAAATGTCCAATCCAGGTTTACCAGGACAACAAAGCATGTTTGGCTTTGCTGAAGTCTGAAGGTTGTAAGCAAAGCACAAAGCACTTGCAATTAAAGTTGCAGCATGCTAGGGAATGTATTCAGAAGGGACTCGTAACGGTGTCCTATATGCCAGGTAATCAAATTCCTGCTGATGTATTGTCCAAGATTGTATCAAGGGATCAACACTGTACCTATGTGCAGAAGTTGGGTTTGTACTGATATTGTGCAAACACGCTGCCCAGTGATGTTCACAGAAAGGGGGAGGATGTTGGTTTCTGCTTTCCTTCACTGTGCAGCAACTGCTGTCATGAGACAGGTGTTTACATTCCACAGTCTGTACTGTTGGAGTTTCTCACGGGAAAGGGAAACTGGATGTGACGTACACTGGTTTCCTGTTTTTCACTGTGTGATTCTCTCCGAGCTGAGAGAGGAGAGAGGATGCATTTTCTGCTCCTGCAGAGGCAAGATGTCTTTCTGTAATATACCAGCTTTGAACTGTAAATAAAGCAATATAGAGTATGTAGCACGTATTACTCATCCTTCCGCTGGGCACGACAGACTCTGTTTAAATCAACAGAAACATCATACATACATCACAGAAGGGGTGTAACCCAAGACTACCCCTCAGATACATCATACCTACATCACAAAAAAGGCGGTCTTAAAACAGAAATTTAAATGTTGTTTATCTCCTGTCTGGCAGGTTACCGTACTTGATTGGATTTCCTGGGGAGCCTGGCCCGTCTCTTGTAATGATAAATACTTAGTTCCTGGGCCAGGTCACAGGCTCACACCCTATTCATATCTTAAATGTGCCCTTAAGACGGGATTTGTGAGGAAAGAGACAATGGGGAGGTTTCCCACTTTGACCTTGCAGAGAAAACATTTGCTCAGTTTAGGAATCAAAATGGCTTCAGGTCGGTCTTCCTGTGCTGATCTATGTACGTGCGGTTATGAACATTGCCATATATCTAAGACCTCAAAATTCCTATCACACAGCAATGCTGGAAAACACAGGAGGGGAGAGTTGCTCTTGTGTTCAAATCCTGCTGGGGGGGGGGTTCCCTTTGTGGCATCTGATTGGCTACTGTGAGAGCAGGATGCTGGCCTCGACTGGCCTGATCCAGCAGCCTTGTCTTATGTTCTTAAAGTGGAGGAGCTGCCAGGGGTTGAGCCCCAGACTCCTGCCCCCAGAAGAGGTGCCCTGCCTCTGAGCTGTGCTCCGTTTCAGGCCTTGCCAACTGCCCCTTCCACTCCCACCCCCTTGCCCACCTCTCCCTCCTGCCACGGGCCAAGCAAAGCACCCACCTGCGGGCTCCAGGCTCTTGGCCTCTTTCAAATAGAGCAGGGCGTTGTCGTAGTCGCCCAGATGGTAGAAGGCGATGCCCGCCCGGTACATGGCTTTGAAGTTCCTCTTCTCCTTGGCAAGAACCTTGAGGCAATAGTCCCTCACCCTCTCATAGTTCACCAGCTCCGATTGCAACAGGCAGGCTGGAGAGAGAGAGAGAGAGAGAGAGAGAGAGAGAGAGAGAGAGATGTTGGGGTGTGAATAGATCAGGGGTAGGCAAACTAGAAGGTCAGCGGTTCGAATCCCCGCGACAGAGTGAGCTCCCATTGCTCAGTCCCTGCTCCTGCAAACCTAGCAGTTCGAAAGCACACCTGTGCAAGTAGATAAATAGGTACCGCTCCGGCGGGAAGGTAAACGGCATTTCCGTGCACTGCTCTGGTTCGCCAGAAGCGGCTTAGTCATGCTGGCCACATGACCCAGAAGCTGTACGCCGGCTCCCTTGGCCAGTAAAGCGAGAGGAGCACCGCAACCCCAGAGTCATCCGCGACTTGACCTAATGGGCAGGGGTCCCTTTACCTTTACCTAGGCAAACTAAGGCCTGGGGACTGGATGCAGCCCAATCACCTTCTCAATCCGGCCAGCGGACGGTCCAGGAGTTAGCGTGTTTTTACATGAGTAGAATGTGTCCTTTTATTTAAAATGCATCTCTGGGTTATTTGCGGAGCATAGGAATTCATTCATTTCCCCCCCCCCCAAAAAAAATATTCCGGCCCACCACATGGTCTGAGGGACAGTGGACTGGCCCACAGCTGAAAAAGGTTGCTGACCCCTGGAATAGATGCTAGGAGAGGGCCTTCTGGCGGTTCCCTCACTGCGAGAAGCAAAGCTACAGGGAACCAGGCAGAGGGCCTTCTCGGTGGTGGCGCCCGCCCTGTGGAACGCCCTCCCATCAGGTGTCAAGGAAATAAACAACTATCCGACTTCAGAAGACATCTGAAGGCAGCCCTGTTTAGGGAAGTTTTTAACATTTGGTGGTTTATTGTGCTTTTAATTCTGTTGGGAGCCGACTAGAGTGGCTGGGGAAACCCAGCCAGATGGGCAGGGTATAATTAAATTATTATTATTATTATTATTATTATTATTATTATTATTATTATAGATTATCCTTCCTTCCTCGTGTTTGTGAGTTCAGCAGAGTGTCATCCATTTGCATCTTAAAAGGGAAGCTTAGATTGGCCAGTTTTAGCCTTTTAGTTTAAGGAATCCAGGATGCTTTAAGGCAGACTGGATTCTCCTGGTATTTCCTCCCCTTTAAAATAACAATCACACAGACAGCCTTGCAGAAAAGGTAAAAAATAGCATTTGCTCTCTCATAATACTTGCTGAAGAGTAACAGATGCAGCAGCTTTTTTCAGGCAGGCTGAACAGAGTAATTTGATTACAAAGACATACAGTGGTACCTCGGTTTACGAACTTAATCCGTTCCGGAAGTCCGTTCTTAAAACGAAACCGTTCTTAAACTGAGGCGTGCTTTCCATAATGAGGCCTCCCACCGCCGGTCCGGTGCCATTCCACCATTCAGATTCCGTTCTTAGACCGAGGTAAAGTTCTCAAACCAAGACACAACTTCCAGTTTTGCGGAGTTTGTAAACCGAATTGTTCTCAAACTGGACTGTTCTTAAACTGAGGTACCACTGTACTTTAGTCTAGCTTAGAATGCAGTCTGAGCAGGAGCTGAGACTAATAATAATAACAGTAATAATAAATTTTATTTATACCCCGCCCTCCCCGCTCAGGACAGCTAATACCAGTAAAATTACAATAATAACATAATGGGTGGGGGGGAACCACCAATTTAAAATACAGGTTAAAATGCAATTTAAAATGCAGCCTCATTTTAAAAGCAGCCCATAAATCAAAACTGTAAGGGGAGGGAAACAGAAGGGTCAGACTGAGTCCAAACCAAAGGCCAGGCGGAACAGCTCTGTCTTGCAGGCCCTGTGGAAAGATGTCAAGTCCTGCAGGGCCCTGGTCTCTTGTGACAGAGCATTCCACCAAGTCGGGGCCAGTACTGAAAAGGCCCTGGCCCTAGTTGAGACATAGCAGATGTTCTCACATTGCTGGCAGAGTAGGGGAAAAGATAGAAAGATAGCACACCAAGGCAGGTAGGAGCATAAACAGCTAGGCCCCCTGCCCCTCTATCTATGCACAGTGGGGGTGTCTCTCGCAGAGTTCTCTCTTGCAAGTTTACAGGAAATCTCTATGCGCTTCAGCTGCTATCCTGTGCCTGTCTAGCAAACATGAATTCTTGGCTTGACTACACTTTAAATATCCCACAGGAGAGATAGTTAATGAGGGAGCCAGGGAGACCATACACTCCCTCCAGCCTTTTCCCAGGTGGCTCCTTCTGAATCCTTGCCCATCCTGATCCTGCAAACCTGCCTGCTGCTCCCCCTGGCCTTTGCGCGATAGCCCTACGTGGCCTTTAATGCAACCACTATCGACGATATTGATTTTTTTAAATTAAAAAAATATATATATTAAATACGGTATTTATAAACCGCACTTCCATGGGAAAAGAACAAGGCCTAGCACGGGACAGGACAGAATGCCAGGATGCAGCCCCCACGCAGCTGGCCTTTCAGCAAGCTGCATCGTTGGGACGCGGGTGGCGCTGTGGGTTAAACCACAGAGCCTAGGACTTGCCGATCAGAAGGTCGGCGGTTCGTGCAGAGTTTTGAGAAACTAAAAGATAAAGTGCGAGACTGGCTTCACTATTATCAAATAAGAGAGGCTTATAATTTAGACAAAAAAATTGGCTTCCAGGTGGAAAAATCAAAGTTGGCAGCAGAACTGTTAGATCCTAAAACAAAGATACTTTCAAGAATGTATAACTTGCTGTTAAAATGGAACACTCAGGACGAGACGGTTAAATCTGCTATGATTAAATGGGCACAGGACGTTGGACATAACATCATGTTTGCTGACTGGGAACAGTTGTGGACCACAGGTATAAAATTTACGGCATGTAATGCCCTAAAAGAGAATATTATTAAAATGATTTATAGGTGGTACATGACACCAGTCAAGCTTGCAAAAAATCTATCATTTGCCCGATAATAAATGTTGGAAATGTAAAGAAACTGAAGGTACATTCTTTCACCTTTGGTGGACGTGCCCAAAGATCAAGGCGTTCTGGGAGATGATCTATAATGAAATGAAAAAGATATTTAAATTTACCTTCCTGAAGAAACCAGAGGCCTTCCTCTTGGGTATAGTCGGCCAATTGGTGCCGAAGAAGGATAGAACTTTTTTTATGTATGCTACAACAGCAGCAAGAATACTTATTGCAAAGTATTGGAAGACACAAGATTTACCCACCCGGGAAGAATGGCAGATGAAGGTGATGGACTATATGGAATTGGCGGAAATGACTGGCAGAATCCGAGACCAGGGAGAAGAGTCGGTGGAAGAAGATTGGAAGAAGTTTAAAGACTATTTGCAGAAATACTGTAAAATTAATGAATGTTAAAATGATGTTGGACTGAAAATAAGTGGTTTTGGTAATAAGGTTAATAAGAATATGTAAATATTGATAGTTATATGGATGAAAATATATAGTTATAATAGGTTAAGATACAGAGTAAAGATAAATGAAAGAGGGTAAGGATTTGCTGAAAGGATTTTGTAAACGGGAATACAAAAAGGGGAGGTGTGAGGAGGTCAAGGAAATAAGTAAATGAGCCTAAAGACATTGAAAAATGGACTTTTTCTTCTTTAAAAAATTTTTTTTCCTCTATTTTTTTAGCTATCTGTTTTTTGTATTTTGTATCATCCTTTTTTTTCTTTTTTTTTCTCCTTTTTAGGTCTCTTTTTTGGTATTTTTCTTGTTAGCTTTGGTTTTTTTTCTCTCTGTGTAATTTCTGGTTTAATTTTTTTTTTAATTCTTTAAATCTATGTTTATCGTAAAATTTCAATAAATATTTTATTTAAAAAAAACAGAAGGTCGGTGGTTCGAATCCCCGCGACGGGGTGAGCTCCCGTTGCTCGGTCCCTGCTCCTGCCAACCTAGCAGTTCGAAAGCACGTCAAAGTGCAAGTAGATAAATAGGTACCGCTCCGGCGGGAAGGTAAACGGCGATTCCGTGTGCTGCTCTGGTTCGCCAGAAGCGGCTTAGTCATGCTGGCCACATGACCCAGAAGCTGTACACCGGCTCCCTAGGCCAGTAAAGCGAGATGAGCGCCGCAACCCCAGAGTCAGCCACGACTGGACCTAACGGTCAGGGGTCTCTTAAAAAAAACAAAAAAACAAGCTGCATCGTTGTCACCAGGGAGGGGCACGCGCAGGGGTGACATCCTCCTGCCCACCTTGGTTGGGTCTCTTGAGTTGAAAGGCAGCTGTGCCACAAGGCAGGTGCTGAAGGAGATTGGGCCAGGACCCCCCCTCAAAGGGATACTCGTCCCCCCACCCCTCAATGGTGCTAAAAAAAAAAGTCCTGGAAATCAGAAGAAGTACCCACATTGAAAGATGGGCAATATAAATTTTTTGAAATGATTGAATTAGCAAAAATGACAGCAACAGTTAGAACGCAATCTAATATCTAATCAAAATCTCAAACAGGAATGGAAATGTGTAGAAGAATACATGACCAAAACATGCTCCAAGAAGAATTTATTGATTATGCATAGACTGATTCCACAAAGTTAAGTTAAGCTAAGCTGATATATAAGACTGAATGTTTAATAATTAAGATACAAAAATATACAATCTCAATAATAAAGTTATAAAATAATAACAAGGAAGTCACGCATGGGTGGAGGGAAGACACGGGGCAAGAAATAAGAAATGGATAAATGTTGGTACATAATGAAACATGAAAATGTGAATTTACGAATACAGTGGTACCTCGGGTTACATACGCTTCAGGTTACACACTCAGCTAACCCAGAAATATTACCTCAGGTTAAGTACTTTGCTTCAGATGAGAACAGAAATTGTGCTCTGGCGGCGCTGCGGCAGCGGGATGCCCCATTAGCTAAAGTGGTGCTTCAGGTTAAGAACAGTTTCAGGTTAAGAACAGACCTCCAGCACGAATTAAGTTCTTAACCCAAGGTACCACTGTATAATGTATATGTATCATTATGTAAAGATTTAATATATGTATTGCAACATTAGTAATAAATAAAATAAAATAAAAAGTCCTCTTTTAGGGTTGCCATTGCAATGGCAGAGCTTTGATGCTTACAATGTTCCTGGCAGATCTGTCCGGTTGGGCTTGATGTGCCCCTCCTCCCTCCTCCTTTCCTCATCTGCCATCCAAATCATTCTCTTCCTGGCTGTTTTTCACGAGGCAAAACACAGGCAGGTTCATTTAAGGTTGCCCCCCTCCCTTCTGCTTGACTCCGGCCGTGGCTGCTCTGCTTTGCCCCCTCTGCCACCCTGCAGGAGGGCGGGACGCCCACATAACGCAGCACGAGGGGCCAGATTCAGCCTCCCTCCTGAGAATCTCAATATTCTTCCTCAAAAGCAGGGGTCAGCAACCTTTTTCAGCCGTGGGCTGCTCCACCGTCCCTCAGACCATGTGGGGGGCCAGGCTATATTTTGAAAAAAAGTATGATTGAATTCCTATGCCCCACAAATAACCCAGAGATGCATTTTAAATAAAAGGACACATTCTACTCATGTAAAATCACGCTGATTCCTGGGCTGTCCACAGGCCGGACTGAGAAGGCGATTGGGCCGGATCCAGCTCCCAGGCCTTAGTTTGCCTAGTAAAGGTAAAGGGACCCCTGTCCATTAGGTCCAGTTGCAGATGACTCTGGGGTTGTGGCACTCATCTCGCTTTATTGGCCGAGGGAGCCGGCGTACAGCTTCCGGGTCATGTGGCCAGCATGACTAAGCCGCTTCTGGCGAACCAGAACAGCGCACGGAAACGCCGTTTACCTTCCCGCTGGAGTGGTACCTATTTATCTACTTGCACTTTGACGTGCTTTTGAACTGCTAGGTTGGCAGGAGCAGGGACCGAGCAACGGGAGCTCACCCCATCGCAGGGATTCGAACCGCCGGCCTTCTGATCAGCAAGTCCTAGGCTCTGTGGTTTAACCCACAGCGCCACCTGCGTCCCTTAGTTTGCCTACTCCTGCTCAAAAGCAAACACGATTGTGGGAGGGGAGCAGGCAGTGAGACCTCAGCAGCTGGAAAAGAGGATTTCCAGGACAGGATTTCCAGATGCTGCGGGGGGGGGAGCGCTTTGAGTTGTGGTGGTAGCAAACCAGGATCGTTCATAGCTCTTCATGCCCCCTCAGGAGGAGCAGGATCAATTTTACCAAGTAGTAAGCAAATGGGACACGGGTGGCGCTGTGGGTTAAACCACAGAGCCTAGGACTTGCCGATCAGAAGGTCGGTGGTTCGAATCCCCGCGACGGGGTGAGCTCCCGTTGCTCAGTCCCTGCTCCTGCCCACCTAGCAGTTCGAAAGCACCTCAAAGTGCAAGTAGATAAATAGGCACCGCTCCAGCGGGAAGGTAAACGGCGTTTCCATGCGCTGCTCTGGTTCGCAAGAAGCGGCTTAGTCATGCTGGCCACATGACCCGGAAGCGGTACGCCGGCTCCCTCAGCCAATAAAGCAAGATGAGTGCCACAACCCCAGAATCGGCCAAGATGGGACCTAATATTCAGGGGTTGACATTTTGTGTGATTCATAAAAGTCGCCAAACCAAAAGAAGCAGTCAGGTGTCACCAACAAGAGCAAGCGTCGTTGTGGTGCAACGGCTAGAGTGCTGGCTCATGGCCAGAGAGCTCTGGGTTCAAATCTCTTCACTCAGCCATTAAGCTCTCCAGGCCAGTCACTGAAATTATGCAAAATTCATCTCGCAGTGTTGCTGTAAGGGCAGAATGGGGGTGGGTCTTCCCTGATTTTATTTTATTTTTTGAAGAAATGTTGTCCCCACCCCCATATGTGGTGAAGCTGTTGGGAAATGGTCATAGCAACTACTGAGGAAATGGTTCACTTTTATTGCACAAGAGGCAATGTAAATATTAAAGCATATCAAACACAAAAGCCGTGTCTTGTGCTACATGCGAGAAATTCCCTTTGCTAAGACATAGAAGCCAAGCTGGATACCAAGAAGAAGAACTAATTAGGAATTAGCTAATTAGAGAACTAATGAGTATGTAACACCCGGTCTCTAAGACAGGAAGAGAAGGAAAGAGGGAACTGAACCATACAATCCAATATATTAAGTATTGGGTTTCCCTGATTTAGGGGTCGGCTGTTGGCTGCCATAGGCAGTATTATTAGCCCTTCTTATCCTTTGGGAGATACACATTTAAATAAGGATTTGTATAGTATTAAAACTTCACAGGATTGTAGCAAATACCAAGAGATGTGAATATTTGAGATTATAATTGAGAAGCACTTACACCCCTTCCCTTTCTTCATGTTGTTGTTGTTGTCAAATTAAATTTATATACCACCCTTCATCAAAAGATTTCAGGGCGGTTCACAGAATAAATGGTATTGTCCGGATTTGTATGACTATTTGACTTAAAAAGGGGAGTGGGGAGTGGCAGAGCCTTGTACACTGACTTGAGCTCCTTGGAGGAAAGGTGGAAATAACAATAATAATAATAATAATAATAATAATAATAATTAATACCCCACCCATCTGGCTGGGTTTCCCTAGACACTCTGGGCGGCTTCCAACAAAATATTAAAAATACAATACAACATCAAATGTAATACTTCTGAATTTCGAGGGGAATAAATGGATTTCAGTCCTGCGGGCTAGCATTCAAAAAATTTATGTCAAAATTGTAAATATTGGTGAATGAGATTTGCATGGTTTTGTTTCATCCCTAGCAGGAAGTACCCAAAGAAAGAGGAAGGAGAAGGTGAGGGAGGGGCAAGGAGGGTCAAAGGTCAGGGAGAGGGGGTCACTGCTAGAGGGGAGGCCACCGCCAATATACAAAAGTCTTAAACACATACACCTGATGGATTCCCAAGGGAATCTTCAACCTTTGCAACAGGTGAGAGAAGTAGGACCTCGAGGGTTTTCCCCTGAAGCCCTTGGCCTTGGCTGCGATGTTCCTCCTCTCTGCTTGGAAGAGGAGGACCTTGGGAGATGGACCAATGGGTGGATGGGGAGAAACATCCCTTGGACTTTGTGAAATTTTGAATATTTTGTTAAGGGAGGGGTGGCCATCTGGCCAGCAACATCACTGGCCACCTCACCATCTCCGGCTCTTGGGTCTTCTAAACATTTTCTCAGAGGGCAGGTGGACACCCTAGCCTTAAGGCAGCATTTTCTGCCTCACCCCCTGCCCCCCCCAACTTGATTCCTCCTGGCACAACTTCCCAGGGGCTGAGCCTCTGACTTTGGCCCTTTGGGCTGGAGGCTTCTCTGCTTGGTATTATCCTGGCAACCTGAACAGTCCCCTGGTAACCCTGTACCTGCAACACCAGGCCTTTCCCTGGGCGTTGCAGGCTGCAGGGTTCAGATCTCCACAGACCCCCCACGAAAGAGCTGCAAATTCTCTGGTGCAAAGGGGACCCCCCTAAACGAGGGACGTCCTTGCCCGTTTCCCAGAGGGGGCGCTTTTGACTAGGAAGGGATCAGAGGCTGGGTCTTGGCCCCAATTAGGGGTGCCAACTTGAATAAAATACAGTGGACGCTCGGGTTGCGAACATGATCCATGCTGGAAGCACATTCGCAACCCGTAGCATTCGCAACATGTGCACGTGTGGGTTGCGATTCGGCGCTTCTGTGCATGCGCAAAGCACGATTTAGTGCTTCTGTGCATGCGCAAGCGCTGAAACCTGGGATTAATCTGTTCTGGTGCTTCCGGGTTCAGTGCAGTGCGCAACACGAAATTGCACAACCTGACGCATCTGTAACCCAAGGTATGACTGTATTGTGGGGACCCAGGTAAGCCCCACCCTGCATAATCACACGCTCCCGTCAACTTAGAAGGGGCAGCCCCCTCAAATATTCTGGCCCCTAGCAGTAGGAAAGCAGGATTGGAAAGGGCTCCCCCTGCCGGCTGGACACGGGAGGCGCATGAGAGGGAACCAGAGACACGTCTGAAGGCGGGACAGCTTCGTCACGACACGGGGGTTCTCCTTCCAAACTGGGAGGGGGGGTCCCGTTGCCAGGCGAGGGCCCCCCACCTTCTTCCTCTGGGCCTGGCACACAGCTCCCCTCACCCCCCAAAAAAGAATCCGCCCCAGCCTTACCCGTCAGGCTGTTGTAGCACTCGATTTCGGTGCCCTCGACCAGCGCCCGCTGCTCCTCGGAGAGGCGCTGCTGCCAGCCGGCCCTCCGCAGCGGGCTGCTGCCGTCCTCGGCCTCGGCCTCCAGCCCCTTGAGCTGCAGCAGCGCCCGGTGGTACTTCCCGATGGCCTCGCGGAACTTCTTCTGCTTGTAGCAGCGCCCGCCCTCGGCCTTGAACTCCACCGCCTGCCGGATCTTGGCCTCCAGGTCCGGCTGGGGCTCGGCGGCGCCCGCGGCGGCGGCGGCCCCGCGCAGGTGGGCCCGGCCGCCCCCGACGGCCGCCCCTCCGCCGCTGCTGCCCCCTCCGCCGCCGGCCTGCGGGCAGCTCCTCTTGTAGGGGCTGCGCTCGTCCATGGCCCCCCTCACAGGCCCATGCTCGGGCGCTTGTCTCCGCTGCACCAGCTGGAAGAGCGCGCTGTGCATCGACGGCGCCCCGGAGCGGAGCTTCAGCACCAGGGACAGCGCGCTAGCGGTGCATTGTGGGAAACTCCCTCCGCATCAGCACCGCCGGCCGGGCTGACCTCGGATGTCTCGGCGCCCAGCGAGGAGGCGGCGGCGGCGGCGGCAGGCAGGCGCCCTTCCGCTTGCAGGGACTGGGGGCGGGAGGGGGGGGACGCAAAGGAAGGGAGGGGCCACAGGCAAGCCCCGCCTCCTCTGGAGTATGGGTGCGAGTGCGGTTGTGCCGGGAGCGCCGTTTCCTGGCGGAGGGTTTCTGATGGAGAAGCGCTGGAAGCTGCCTTCTGCGAAGAGCCAGAGTTGCAGTCTCGTAACGGGACACCCAGGAGTCATCTAGTCCAACCCCTGCTGTAACTATGCCAGACCATGGCTGCCTAGAGGTCCAAGGCAGGGGGCGAGTGCCAGCCGTTCCTGGATAGGCTGCCAGGAACTGGAGCCACCTGCAGGTAGACAGGTGGGGTAGCTCAGTTGGGGTAACTCTTAATCTCAGGGCCATGGGTTCAAGTCTCACGCTGGGCAAAATATTCCTTCTTTGCAGGGGGTTGGGCTAGATGACCCTCGTGGTTCCTCCCAGCTCTATCATTCTATGATTCTATAATACCAGCCCACATCTGCAAGGGAATTGGCTCCTTCTGAGTGGGAAGAATATTTATCCAGCTCCCCTGCTAGTGATGTCTGAAGAGCAATGCAGGAATTTTGACCAGAAAGATGGCAGAACATCACTTGTGACAGGCAGCTTGCAGTCACCCTTAGTGGACCATCAGTGTTACGGTCTCTGTATTGACAGTGGAGGAAGCAGTGAATGGGGTTGGGGGGCAGAAGAGAAGGCTCATCATGCCTTCTGACTAATGTAATGCCTTCGTTTAAATTTGCAATGTTCTGTTTTTGCAACGTTTTACCATGAAAACAATTTTAAATCATAGAGGTAAGATTCGAACTTGGGCCTTCCTGGGACGTAGCTTATACGCTTCACCACTGGGCTACAATAGAGGGGTGGGGACATATTCCCCCCACACCCATCACCCCTGTCAAGAGGGGCCTGAGATTCCGGCTCCACTTCCAAGGGAACTGACAGACCTTGCCATGAAGAGATAATAGGAGGAGCAAGAGAGAACAAAACACACTTTATTAAACACTTCCAGAGTCCTGTTTTCTTACAGTTATCTACTCTTTTTTAAAACCAATCTGTTAAGATTGGAGGGAGGCAGATAGTGCCAAGGAGGGTGGGGTCACTGTGAAGAGATGAAGAAAGAGAGAGAGAGAGAGAGAGAATACCAGTTCCACCTGAATTGTCTCCCAAGGATTCTCCTTGGGCTCCTGGCCCCATCCCCTCCCCTCCCCACCTGAAGGCTCTGGTCCACCTCACCCCATGCTTCTTCCATGGAGCAGACCTGGGAAAGGTCCTCTCGCCCTGCAATGGGGTGCGATGGGCCCTAAAGGCAGACCCACAGCAGACCCCTCTTCATGGAGTGGGGCTTCCCAGGAAGCAGCTCAGGTACTCGGAGGCCGTGATGGCGGGGCTGGTGCTGGTGCAGAGTTTTTGAGGCCGCGAGTATTTCAGGAAAGTGGCGCGAAGGGTGGAGCTGGGGCCCCGCAGGGCAGCCTTGGCCATGGGAGGGTGCACTGCCGACAGCTCAGACTCACTGCAATGAGAGAGAGGCAGGAAGGGAGGAAGCTATGCTTTTGAATAAAGGAGGGAAGAGTGTTGTTCTTGCATTCAAATCCTGCTTGCCAGTTTCCCACAGGCAACTCTCCTGCTGCTGTGAGAACAGGATGGTGGACTAGACAGGTCCTTGGCCTGATCCAGAAGGGGGTTGGACTAGATGACCCACAGGGTCCCTTCAATTATATGAATCGATGACCTCTGTGCAGCCAGCCAGCCAGAGAGCATCACTGCAGCAAAAAGGACCCAAGAATCACAGGCCAGGCACAGAACTCTCTGTAAAAGCCAGGCATCATCACCCCATAAGTCCCTGCAGCAACCCTGTCACAAGACGGAGTATCACCCCCATAAGGGGCAAAGACAGAGGAGGCAGCAACTTGCCAGAGCTGTGGGGTGTGAAACACAAGAGCAGTCAAGTACAACATTCCTAGAGTGAACATGTTTACACATGGGGAGGAATGTTTGTCCAGCCAGCAGGTAAACTTCCTGTTTCCTTCTGGGCTGGGACAGACTTCCTCTGCATGTGACTAGAGGTGGGCGTGGCCTCACCTGTACAGGTGATGACAAAAGCACAGGGCAGGGCAGCCATCTCTCTCTCTGTGACTACTTTCATCGAAGAAGCAACATCTGCTTAGTCAAAGATGCTCTCTTGGCCTCCAGCCAAGAGAAGACAAAGGAACTGTCTCCTTATGAGATAGTTTCCAGGTGTATGTTACTTTTCTAAGCAAAGTCTGCTTTCTGGGATCCGATTGTGAACAGAATGTGAGTAAACTCTTTTTATACTTTTATAGAAGACTGTGTCGTGTCTTACCTTTTATGAGGGAATAAGGGGGAAATACCAGAACAGTTATTATAGAGGCTTTAGCGAGCCTGAGCAAACGCATCCGCTGTGAGTTTAAAAAGGGGAATGTTACTCTGCTAAATTGTGAACTTGTTAACACAAGTTTGAAAGGCTATAATCAAACAATATATCCTCTCCTGCATCCCTGAACATTCCCACAAGAGCACACTCTCCCACTCAGCAGTGAGGCAAGATTTGAACAGGGGGCTTCCTGGCCCACCCTGAGAGAGAAAATAACGTCTTCCTTCATGCAGCCCCTACGGAACCCCCTCCCACAGGAGGCAGTGACGCTTCTGAGTAGCAGGTGCTGGGGTGCTTGTGGGGCTCCCCAAATGACCGCTGGCTGGCTGACCGCTGAGAGTCTAGGCTATGGGATTAGATGGGGCAGCCAGGCTCTCCATAGGTTCTTAGAATCTTAGCACTGTACAGTTGGGTCATCTGGTCCAAACCCCTGAAATGCAGGAATTTCAGCTAAATCAAGGACAATAAATTAAAAAGGGCATAGCAAGGCCCTTTCCAAGACTGAAATATATTGGTGACTTCACATAAGTCTCCAGAGTGGCAGCTTAGGGGCCTGAGAAGCAGCTTCTGAATTTGACTCCAGTTCTTCAGAATCCTAAAATTACAAAACCCATTCATAACTGAAAAGTCTTTGTCCTATTGGCACAGAGAATCGCCAGCCTCCCAGAAAACACACTGGCAGGTGGGCTCCTCCTGTGCTGCCTCCTCCCCCCTCCCAGGGGTCCAGGGGTCTGCTCCTACCTGTACGAGTGGAGGTTCGGGGCACCTTCCTGGAGAGCGTCCCAGAGCCTGGCACCCTCTTCCGGCAGCACCCTCTGTGCCAGGCCCAGGGCAGCCAGAGAGAGCTGTGCGGGCTCAAAGCGCAGGCAGTCGCAGTCCGCCAGAGAAAGCTCCAGGAAGTACATGGCCAAGAGGAGCACCTGGGGGGAGGGGCAGGAGGAAGAGCAAGTAGGGGGAAGGGGGACCCAGGAGTCCTGCCCTCACCAGCCCCTGCCCTCAGGTCAGGCCAGGAGCAGGAGGCAATCGGAAGGGCAGCAACGTCCTTGACTCTGAGCATGTGCAGAAGCTGCACTCGGGGAGGAAAGGGTCTGACTTCTGATGTAGTGATCAGATGGGATTACTGTGAGGAATTATGAAATGTGCATCAAGCCACTGTGTCCGCGATGAAAGCGTTGCGTTGACTGGGTTTGATTCATTGACAATAATTTCTGATCAAATCCCACAAGCCTCTGCACCTCTGCCATTTTTCCTCTACTGCCCATTTCTCTACACCTGACAGGCACGTATAAGCATTCTGAAACACAGGCCAGTTGCTTCATCCGGCACCCTCAGTACATAAAGATAGTAGGTTACTTTGACGTAGTTTAATCTTTAGATAGATCTTAAGGGCCAGGAAGAGAGTTCACAAGATGGTAAACACTGCCATCCTGCCTCTCCTATTTATGACCTCCGGGGTTTCTTAAAAGCACTCCTCCTTGCTCCCTCTTTTATTTACTCTGGACTACTATGCATGCTCAAGTAGGAAATAGTTTCTTTGTAGTTTTAACTTTAACTTTGTCCCCACGTGGGGTTTTTTTTGAAATGCTCAAAGGAAATCTGATTGTCTCTTACGAACACTGTGTAAAAAGTTCTTTTGTGAATAAAACGACCTGGGCCGAGGGGTGGACAGGAATTATTATATGCATTCCTCCCAGAGTCTTGCTGGCCAAGCCTCGTGTGTATTCTATTAATCAGAGTCCAATCCTTCCTTGCTTTGGGAAGGCTACATTCTGAGCCCCAGCATCTCTTTAAGAGGGAAAGTGAGGAGTCAGCTGCGGCCTGGGAGACCCCTGCCCGCCCGACTGACACTCACCTCCCTGGCACAATGGCCCACTTCTGCCAGCAGGTGCAGCAGGTGGACAGGGTTGGCATAGTGCAGCTCGAACTTCAGGCCGGCCAAGATCTTGCGCTCCATGCGCAGAAGCTCCTTCTGGTTGAATGAGTCCTCCATCATGAAGCAGAGCTGGGACGGCTGGAGGGAGGGAGGGGAGAAGGAGAGACAGCGGCAGAAAGGGGTGGGTGGGCAGTCTCCCTCGCAAGGCTGTTTTTAAGCAGCGGTTGGGTGGCCACCTGCCATGGGTGCTTCAGCTGCGGTTCCTGCATTGCAAGGGGTTGGACTGAATGACCTCTGGGGGTCCCTTCCAACTCTATGATTCTTTCCCTCTGTGATTGCATTTCCCTGACCACTTTCCATTCAAGTGAATCCCAAAGGGGCTCACAAACAATAAATAACAGCAACGTGATGGGACATCACAAGTACAGCCTAGATCCCATGATCGTCAGCGAAACAAGTAAAACCCAAGAAACAATATTTAACAAACTAAAACTAACCAACTAAAAAAGAATAAGCCAAACTGTGAAATAATAAGCAGCGGATTCGTGAAAGATTTAATGGTAGTGGGGTTTGGGTAGTAAAAATATGTGTGCGATAAAACAGCTAAAAAATAAACATTAGGAAAGGAGGGGTGGGAAATCAAAAAGTAACTTTGTATGTCAAAAGAAAATGTTTATGATGATAAATGCTTTGAAATACGGTGGGAGACTTATTAAAAATGATATAAAAATAAGCTAAACATCGCCTGATTACAGCATGTCATATTATATTGTTATGGGTTTGGGGGGCCAGATTCCCCTAAATTCCTGGGTGCCACAGCCTCCCCATCATTCCTGGAGTTAAGTTTGGGCTAAACTTTGGCCATCAGCAGGGGCCAAAAGTCAGTGATGGTCCATCAAGGAATCAGGCAGAGGTTTAGGGATTCAACTTTGAATGGCATAGGCTGGCGGGAGCTCCTTGGAGTAACAGCGAGAAGGAGAAGGTGGGGGGCTTCTCCAAGAGAGCTGGGGAGTGACAGTCTAGAACCAAGAGACACAGAGTGTGGCTTTTTGCTGTCCTTTTGAGTCCAACGCTCCTTGAGGATGGGGTAGCAAAACCCCATAGGATGCAAATGTTCTGGAATCCTCCCATCAAGGTGCAGGTCACATATATGGGCAAATAAAACCATATTTCATGAAGACACTGCAGTCTCTGCTGTGCCTCATTGTCCCAGAGAGGAACATGGACCCTGGAAAGTGTGCCCCCCCCAACCCCTGGGATCTCGCAGCCCTCATGGAGATGACAGCAGTGTGTTGACAATATGATTGACAAATCAACAAGGCAAAACAATATTAACATCATAGCAAGTAAAAAAAATAAACTGGGAGGCGATGAGAGAGGCGCCTGTCTGAGTCTCCTCCTCCTGCCCTTGGCCTCCCTGCCTACCCCCCACAAGGTGCTCATTTGCAGGAGAGGGGCAGGAGAGGGGCCGGCCTGGACCCCCTGAGCTGTGCAGGATCAGCCCACCAGAGGAAGCCCCACAACTAAGGCCACAGCCCAGCCACAGCTATTCAGTGTGAACAGTCCCCTTGACAGGCACAGAGTCTCAACTGCCTCTCCTAGAGGTGGGAGTCTAGGACAGCCCCCCTCCCTGGACTGGGCACCAGAGCCTCCCCCTCCCACCTGCGGCCTCCTGCTCACCTGAGGGCAACTGCTCTCCTCTACCTTGCAGGCCAGGAAGAGGCAGGTGGCAGCCAGGAGCTGCAGGGTGGAGATTCGCACTCGGCCCGCTTTCAAGTAGGCGTTCAAGAGGTAGACGGCCAGGAAGAGAGTCTCGTCCGCCAGGGCCAGGTATTCCTGGGGGGTGGGCAGAAGCAGGATTAGACACAACTTTCTGCCACAAAGCGTCCCAGTCCAGCTCCTCCTTCTCCTCGTCCCTTCCAACTCTTCAGCTCTGTGATTCTATGACTTTGGGGCCGCCATTCCCCGATATTCTGCCCCACAACAAAGGCTCCACCAAGCCCCCAACTCTTGCTTGCTCCAAGGACTCCTGGTGACCCCCTTCAGGGCAGAAGTTTGCCTCTCCAGCAAGGGGAGGGAGCCAAACCTGCCGCCCCTCCCATTCTGCCACCCGAGGTGCCTGCCTCACCTTGTCCCATTGCAGAGCCGGCCCTGGATGCCTCCCTGCCCACCTGAGTCTGCTGCAAGGGGATGGAAACTCAGGGCCTCCTGCAGCCCCACCCCAAACAAACTTCCCCACCCGCTCTTCCGGGGGGGGGGAGAGATTGGGGGGGGGTTCCTGCTGGTACCTACATGCACTTGCACCAGCCAGTCGATGATGAGACCACGCATCTCTCCCGTCACAGACCTGGGCATATCAAGCCCCCGGAAGGCGTAATGCGGCTGCTTCTGCTGTGGGGAGGAAAGGGGGGGGGAGAAAGGAGCCCTGAGGTTGCTGCACCCCCCTTCCCTTCTTCTTATAAACCCCCGTCCTTTGGGAGAGGACAAAGCAAGGGAGCCGTGACAGCTGTCACTCAGTAGAACAGGAGGCTCTTAGGGCTTTTAGGACCCTCGTATTTACAGGACCGCCTCTCCTGGTCTGCCCCGCAGAGGACCTTAAGGTCCATGAATAAGCATAGTTTAGAGGTCTCGGGAACTAAGGAAGTCAGACAATCCTCCACCAGGGCCAGGGCCTTCTCAGTGGTGGCTCCGACCTGCTGGAATGATCTGTCCCAGGAGACCAGGGCCCTGCAGGATTTAACCTCCTTCTGCCTGGCCTGTTAAGACAGAGCTATTCCGCCTGGCCTTTAATTTGAATTCAGCCTGATCTTTTATTTCCCTTTCCTTCCCTCCCCTTTTATGAAGATCACCCGCTCTGAGACCCCACAGCTAATTCTCCCCTGGTCTCCTCACTGGCCCAAGTAGGACTAATTCAGCCAGCTAGCCCTGGTGACTATCCAATGTTTATTGGATGGATTTTCCCCAAATTGATTTCTGAATTTTGAATTTTATTGTTATTCATGTTTTTATACTGTATTTTACGCTGCTTTTACAATTAAGTGTTTTAAATTGGTTGTTAGCCACCCTGAGCCCGGTTTTCTGAACCAGGAAGGGTGGGGTATAAATAAAAATTTATTATTATTTATTATTAATCTGAGGGTCATAGGTTTGAGCAAAAGATTCCTGCCCTGCAGAGGGTCAGTCTAGAGGACCCTTGGAGGTCCCATCCAACTTGACAATTAATGTGGATCTGTTAATCCCACCTTCCTGGTGGTAAGACCTGTTTGACAGCTGAGCGGTGGTGGTGGACTCCCCTTCATTTGTAAACGGAGGCTGGATGGCCATCTGTCATGGGTGCTTTGGGGACATTCCTGCACTGCAGGGGGTCAGACTATAGGACCCTTGGAGGTCTCGTCCAACTCTAAAATTCTGAGTCCCCTACCAGCCAAGCAAGGGGCCTTTGGGAAGCCCCCATGGCAGGGAGAGAGGACAACAACCCCACCCAAAATCCTCTGAGAGAGGTCAGCCCACAGGGGCCTCTCTTGGGAGGCGGGGATTCCAACACTGGTCCTCAGGATGGAAGTCACTGTTAGGATATAGTTCCGTTCCACCTTAAAAGGGTACAGGCATGACGTTTGTGTATCACATGCCTGTTTACTTCCAGCTCTTGCTGGGAACTTCCATTGCATGTAGCTTTTGATATGCTGCTGTTTTGCTGGATATGAAGGCAAGCAGTCATGTTTTCCTTTGTTCCTGAACTAAGCTGAATAAAGCTGTAAATATGCTCTCTCTGTCTGCTTCTTCCATTGTGGAAGATTTATACACCCTGCTGAAAGGGTGTGCATGGGTCTTGGAACGTATCTGAAGCTCGTGTTGCTAATTTACTGATGCTGTTCCACAGGAGACCGGTGATTGTTCGGAGCCAGCTGGGGGCCCGCCTGATGCCCCCGTCTCCCTGGCAGTATCCCAACAGTCACCCCCCCTCCAACTTACCATCAGGTTGCTGAAGATGTCATAGGCATACTCCTTCTCCAGGCCCATGCCCAGGCGCAACATGGCTTGCGAGAGCTCCTCCACAAGGACCTCAGAGGCGGGAGCAACTGGGGTGGGGGAGGAAAGAGACAGCCGCTGTGGTGCGGTTTGGCTCGCTCACCTGAGCTCTCTGCAAAGCACCCAGCTGCTTCTGCATGTTGCTGTGCCAGATGCAATGGGTTGAGATGGGACTGGGTGCAAGGCCCGCCCCCCATGCCTGAAGGACCCTGTCGTGGAACAAGGGGAGCAGGGAGATGGGCAGCGTCCTTTGGGGCATCAAGTCCATATTTCTACTGAAGGGAGACTTGCCTCCAGTCTTAATGATGCATTTGGGACGCATGGCGGTACGGAAAAAATCTGCCTTAGAAACTTTGATTGAAGAGCTTCCAAAGTGCTAAGGTGGTTACCAGTCCAAATCTGAGCCCCGTATAGTAGCTGTGCTAGGGGTTTAGCTTGGAAGACTTCTAGGGCTGATGGTATATGTTTGCCACCCTTTGTATGGAAAAAGCGAGTCAAAGTCTTGGCACTTTGGCAGGGGCAATCAGAATAAGGGCCACTAACTGATGGCTGATTCAGGACTTTAAATTGTGCTCTTGTATCAAATTCCCTTTTTTGCATATACTGTAATGTTTTACTGTTGCTATGGCCGTTGGCTAAAGCGAATAAAGTTTTCTCTTCTCTTATCTCCAGGGCTTCACCATTTCCAGACACTTTGGTAAGAATTAATGGGCTTTGGATTAGGACTACTTAAAATTCACAGCCTGTGGAGAGGGGGAAGCAGTAGGCAGTAGGCAATATGGGACGCGTCCCCAGGCCAACTCTTGTTCCCTCCCCATCAGGCCTCCCAACTTTTACCCCATCCTGCAAACTATTTTGCCTGGAGCTCCCTTACCTCTTTGCAACGCTGGCTCTGCTGAGGTTCTGGGGCAGACAGCGCCCGGCTTCTCAGAAGCAACGTCCCTCTCATGACTCCCGGGGACCTTCCGCTGTAAGAGAGATTTGGGGTGCGGTGGGGTGGGGGCCAATTGATGGATTGATTGCATTTTTATCCCGCTTTTTTCCCTCCAAGGAGCTCAAGGCGGCGTAATGTTTCAGGTTAGGCCGAGAGGCACTGGCTGTCACCCAAGCCAAGTGGGGATTCGAATCCTGGTCTCTCCCAGATCCCGGGCCAAGACTCTCAACCACAGCACCACAGTTTGGCCGCAAGAGCGCTAGATTGGACCTGTGACCCCCGCAGAGGCAGAGCAGGGCTCCGTGAACCAGCTCCTGCATCTTAAAACGCCTCCTCAGAGCCTTGCAGCCTGGGATTGTAAGCAGAGGCACAACTGGGGCCACCACCAATGTGCCAGCGTGGTTAGAGCACTGGACCAGGACCTGGGAGAGACCAGGGTTCAAATCTCCACCTCAGCCACGACGTTCACCTTGGGTGCCAGTCGCTGCCTCTCTCAGCCTGACCTACCTCACAGGGTTGTTGTGGGGGTTAGATTATGGTTACCAGATTTTTTTCAATGAATCCGGGGACACTTTCCCCCCCCGAAGCTGAGTAGCAACAGGGAGTCAGTAGTGGGGATGGTGAGGCAAAAGACCCTTGGCCCAAGCACACATGCATATTGCATAAAGGTGCAAAGCCCTTCTTTTGCACCCTGTGAAACATAAATGCACAGAGTTTTTAAAAAACTGGGCAATGGCTGTCCGCCTGCTGCTCCCCCGATCTGTCAAAACAAAGCCATGTTGCCCAGTTTTTAAAAAACTCTGCACATTTATGTTTCATAGAATGCGAAAGAAGGGCTTTGCACCCTGCCCGGCAGAGTAACCGCGTGCCTTGTGCCCCCCCTGGGCAATAGCCGCCTGCCCAGAACTCCTGAGCCTCCCCTATCAGTCAAAACAAAGGCGGAAGGGGGCAGGAGATCTGTACCGCCGGATGTCCCCGGTTCCCTTTTGGCAGTGGCAGTCAGCAGCCTGGAGCCAGCCAGAGCCAACTGCGCTATCAGGCTGGCTCTGGGCTGCTGAGGCTGCCACGTTTCCCGGGGACAGATTTGCAAATCCGGGGACTGTCCCCAGGAACATCTGGTAACCCTAGGTTAGATGAGGAGGGAACCACCTGGAACCCTTTGGAGAAAAGGCTGGGATAGAAACGCAGTAGACAATAGGTGTTCTAGCTGGCTCACGTGGTCACTTGATGCCCCAATATACGTGGCAAATGTTCAGCCCCTGATCTCCTATCTTCTAAGGGTGTTGCAGGGGAAAGAGACAAGAGGTCTGCGTTGCTCACCTCCCATCTTTGGGACTTTGCATTTCTCAGAACTTACCTCTGCAGTGCCAACACCCAGCTGAAAGTAGAGGCTGTTTGTTTTTGAGCATATGCAAAGCGCCTTTACCTCCCTCCCTCCCACGGCAATGACTTCCAAGTGAAGGTCAGTGCAGAATCTGCAACAAAATGTTGCAGCGTAGTCTAAGAGGGCTGATCCTATTCGGGGCTTCAGCCGGTCAGAAATATTCTCCCCTCTGGGATATCCTTCCTCCCCCCCTTCCAACCTGTCCCACCTCAGTTTTCTTTCCCAACTGACACCCCACACCCCAAGGTATTGAGCGTCCTCAGTCCTCCTCCAGTTCTTTGCTTGCAAGGCGCGTGTTGTTGCCCCGTAGGCTGTTTTGTCTGAAGGTCTGCTGTGCTTCTCTGTGCCCCCTACTAAAACCTTGAACCTTGGGGGCTCCAATCCTGCTGGCACTCAGCACCCAAGTTCACTATTAAAGGGAGCCGGAAATGGGTGCTCAAAGCTAAGGAATGACATCATTGCTTCCAGGTGAGCAAGTGGGGGGGCAGATTCAAGGCTGCACCTCTGCCCCCCACTCCGCAAATGATTCCTGTCTTCTAACAATGCACCCCAGCACCCCCTGGAAGACCCACCTTCCTGGATCCTTTTTCACTGCTCAGTCCTTTGTTGTTCTTGCTTTTCAAAGGCTCCCTTTTCTCATCTGCCTAAAATGGAACATATTTAAGGGAGGAGTTAAAGGGGCAGAACTCCCCCACTTTGGTTTCTGGCCCCCCCCCCCATCAGCCCCCACATGGGCTTTTGCCAAGGAGCATCTCGGACAAAGTGAAGGTCACTGGTGTGACCACAAGCAAAATGTGGGAAGTTAAAACTCAGCCACTTCAGAGCTGGGATTTTTGGGGGGCAAATGTACCCCCACCTTCGGCCTCTCAAACCCCAGCTTGAAGCCGACAGGTCACTGCAGCAACTTCTCCACCGAGGGGAGCAAAGAGAGAGGCCAGGATGGTGGAGAAAGCCTCCTTTGCAATGCTAGGAGGATGCTCTTCTGATAGAGAGCGCTCCTGGACATGTGAAGAGTGCAGGCCTTTCTTCCGCCACATCTGTGAAAGGGTGGCAGGGCCTCTCAGCTCAGGGAACGCAGCTTCCAATGAGGGTCTCTGTTAGGTACCCCCCAAGGGGCTAGCCTGCTGTGGGAGGCAGGTTCTGCAGACACCGGTCCAAACGGAACACCCCAAAAAAACAAACCAACCCCCACATCCACTCAGGTGCCTTTCCAAAAGCTACATCTCTTTGGCAGGGGAGGGTAGAAAGGGGAAAAATGCAGGGAGACCAAGGACCCCACCCCAAACCCTCCTGCCCCCCCCCCGGAGCCCCCACCACAAGAGCAAACCAACAAACTTGCAGTCTGCCAGGATCTCCTCTCTTGAAAGGCGGTGGGCTTGGCCTGCACACCCCACATGGTTCCCAGAGGAGGAAGGGCTAGGAAGGAAGGTCAGCTCTGCAGGGGGAGAGTCGGGCTCAGTGAGCTGCAACTCCAGCTGTGCTTAATTAGCAAAAATTAGCAGAGACAGACGCAGTGGGCAGGCCTTAGGCAGCACGGCCTCCCATCCTGAAAGGGGCTGGGCCTCCCCAGTCACGGGAGGTCAGCAGGGCCAGAGGTGCCTTTGCTGCCATAAGCAGACACATTTTAATGCTTTAGTGTTGTATTTTAATCTTGTTTTTAAGTTGTATTTCAATTGCTTTTATACCTGGTGTCAGCTGCCCTGAGCCCGGTCTTGGCTGGGGAGGGCAAGGTATAAATAAAAATTATTATTATTATTATTATCATCCATGGAAGAGGCTGTTCATGGAAGCCTAAAACCATGGAGCTGGATCAAATAATAATGTTGTTTACAAAAAGGAAAGGGGTGCAACCTTAGATATGTTTACAAGGAGAGAAGTCCCACTGGGCTGAAGAGAGCTTACCTGTAGTCAGCATATTTATAATACCCATTTTATTATTTGTACCCCAGCCGCTCTGCGATTGGGCAGCAGATTCAAGCAGACTTTTAAACCGATTGGTCAGTTCAGTAGGCATGTATTGTGCATTTTTGAAACAAGAGTTCTGAAGGCAGCAAGCATTTTTTTTTATAAAAAAAAAGCTGCTTAATGTCTATTTCACAATTAGAAAAGGCATCACCTTCTTCAAGAGCAAAGGTTGAAGGAATGGCTCTCTTAAAGTGTTGCCCAGCACCTGCTGATTACTGGTACGATAAGCACGTATACTGAAATTAATCAACTTATAAAAAAAAATGCTATGCCTCAGATATACAGGAATGCCATTTTAGCCCATTAATTTTCAACTAAAATTTGCACACAGGGGCATTATGGGTTCTCTCACTCCTCTGGCCTAAAACGATGAGGAGCTCAGCTTAATGAAAATGACACTCAGGCAGGATCAGGACTTGCAAGAGAGGGAACGTCTCTCCTCAAACACCTCACCCCACAGCCAACTTTGGCTACCTGCACGGCTGGCGGAAAGAGGACATCTTTACACTTCCCCCACAGCACCAGAAGAAGAGGAGGAAGAGTTTGGATTTGATATCCTGCTTTATCACTACCCGAAGGAGTCTCAAAGCGGCTAATATTTGTTGATTTAAAGCAGAGTCTGTCGTGCCCAACGGAAGGATGAGAATACGTGCTCCATACTCCATATAGCTTTATTTACAGTTCAAAGCTGGTATATTACAGAAAGACATCTTGCCTCTGCAAGAGCAGAAAAATGCA